CCAGGGCAGGGAGGGGGGCTCAGAATTTCCTTAACCACCAGGGTTTTGCAACACTAGACGGTAACTTGCAAAAAAAAAAAAATATGGAGGGAGTTAGAGGAGTCTTCTCTATGCTTCACATCCATTCCCTCCTAACTTCCCACATTGGAACAGATCAGGGCCCTCCTCATTTCTAAACAATCTGAACAGCATTTAGTAAAATTGTGCTGAGGTATGAGCAGTACATGGTCCTATATACTAGGGCTAGAAAACACCAGAGCTGTCACCACCCCTGGACATGAAGGGGTCTGAGGGCAAAGCAGTTGCTCAGCCTGGGTCTTGCTGGTCAGGACCTCAGATTTTTGCCTAAGACAGGTAAGCCTGCAGGAACTGCCACTACCACCCACCAAGGATAACGAATACCTTGATTTTCACTGCCTCCCCGCAAGTCCTGCTGGGATTCCTCAGTGTCTGGACCCACTCAGATGCCAGAGGGAGAGGCCAGCCTCTCCAGAGGCCACTTGTCGCGGCCCAGGCCAGACTCCCAGTGAAGTCTCCCAGAAAAGTCGCAATGAGTCTCAGCAGTTGACAGTGAAAGAATCCTGACTTAAACACTGGTCTGAAAATTTTTCATGGCCTAAGTGGAGATGTGTCTCAAGTGTCAGCCAAGAGAGACTATCACGGCCCTGAGTTTTATGCCCTAGTATGGGCCCAAAAACAAAACAACTTCATGGGGCTGGGTATGTATGTAGCTTGGTTTGGTAACAGAATTCCTGCTTAGCATGGGAGAGGCCCTGGATTTGATCCCTACAATATTCCCCCTTCAAAACTAAAGGGGAACAAAATTCAGTGTGAATATGTTGGGCCTTTCAACTGGGTGCTGGTGGCTTATACCTATAATCCTAGCAACTGGAGGATCATGTGTTCAAAGCCAGCCCAGGCAGGAAAGTCCATGAGACTCATCTCCAATAAACTCCCAGAAAACCGGAAGTGGTGCTGTGGCTCAAGTGGTAGAGTGCTAGCCTTGAGTTAAAGAGCTGAGGGACAGCGCTCAGGCCCGGAGTTCAAGCCCCACAACTGACAAAAAAAGAAAAGTTGGGCCTTTCACAAAATATTAGTGAGCACAGCTAACTGGTTGTGAGGAGGGCTCAGAAGCAAGCTCAGGATTTGCCGTCTGAGACCCACCCAGGATCACCTGGCAGTGTAACCTTCCACAGAGCCAGCCTAGGACCTAGACACTGCTGGATCCTGCCCCAACTTCATTTCTTTTCTTCCTGTCGAAGCCTGGCACAGTACAAAGTCTTCAGTTAGATTGACGTCACATGCCTTCCATAGAATGCAAAGGTAGCTGTGGAAGCAAGTCCCCACCTACATTCTAGTTGGGAGGGGCACCCCCCAAACAAGGCCAGAGGTTTGCCATGCTGGGTAACAAATGATGCCAAGCCAGTTTTTCAATATGCTGGAGTAGTTCCTTCAGACAGTCTCGTCAAAAAAGGACTAAGAACTCTCAGTATGTACTGCCAAATGTCTGTCCCAGGAGTTTTATTCCAACCATATCCAGCCAACACAACACCTGCTTTACCATGTGTACTTTATCATCGAAAAACTTTAAAACTAATTTAATAGGCAAAATATGATTGATAACCTCAGAGTAATTTTCTCCTCTGTGTTCCCGTATTTGTTCCTTAGTGATGTTCTTCAAACATTTCCTGATACTTGTCTTTTGACATTTTATTGTTTGGGTGACTGATTTTTATTAGTTTTGTTTTTGTAGCTTTGTACTAAAATTAGCTTCATTTGCTGAAAGAAGAGATTAGGATTAAATTCAGCTGTGTATTACACGGAGTGGTGGGGTAAAGGTATTAAACTAGATAATGGCTTCTTTCTCTTCCACATAAGAAAGGCTTGGGGAAGGGCAGTCCAGGACTGATCTTGGACCCACTTCACAAAGTCAGGGGCAAGTGATCCAGGTCTTCCCAATCATCCCTCTGTCATCCTCTCATGAGGCTTCATACCCAAATCCAAGATGTCAGCCACCACGTCCAAGGGAACAGCAGGAAGGATGAAGAGGGACAAGCCAAACCCTTTAAATCACTTCCGTTTTTGCATACCATTAGCCAAAATTCATATGTATGAGCTTGCCTAGCCATAAAGAAGACAAGAAACCAGATAAAAGTCAGTATTTTTCTGGGTGCTGGTGGCTCATCCCTATAATCTTAGCTACAGCTCCAAGCCAGGCAGGCAGAAAAGTCTATGAGATACCTTTCTCCAGTTAACCACCTAAAACAGAGGAGCCAGCAGGAAATGGAGGTGTGGCTCAAGTGGCAGAGTGTCAGCCTTGGTTGAAAAAGATAAATGAAAGTGACAGACTCTAAGTTCAAGCCCCAGTACACGCACCAAAAAAAAAAAAAAGATAAAAAAGAATGGAAGTGGAGGAGTACCCAACTATATCTTATATAGACAAGGCTAGAAGTCATGTTGAAGACAACACTTTCCTATTAAAAAACAATCATGTTAGCTGGGTGCTGATAGCTCACTCCTGAAATCCTAACTACTCGGGATCTGAGGATTGTGGCAGGAAAGTCTTTGAGACTCTTATCTCCAGTGAACCACCAGAAAACCAGAAGTGGCACTGTGGCTCAAGTGGTAGAGCACTAGCCTTGAGCTGAAGAGCTGAGGAACGAACAATGCCCAAGCCCCACGACTGACAGAAAAAAAAAAACCACAATCATGTTTATGATGATGATGGTGACTAATCTTTGTTAAATAATACCACCATATATTTAGATAAAATTTGTGGGAAGCTATTGAACTGCTGAAATTAAGCTCTTACACTGAACCCAACTGATGAAATTAACATGAAGTTGAACCACTATTTGATTTCAAGCTCACTACAAGAGGCTCTGTAACCAATTAATCAATTAAGCTGTAACTAATTAAGTGGTCTGTGCACTATACTTTTGTTTCCCATCAAATCTATCAGATCATCTCATTGGTGGGAGCTCTCAGAATTTGCCCTGGCTCTGGGGACAGCCCAGTTCACAAATCATTTTTTGTTTGGTTGGGGTTGCTTTGTTCTGTTTTGGTTATAATTACTCAAATAATCTCGGCTGACTTTAATTAGTCTAAGATTTTTTTTTTCTTTTGACAATAATTGTGGGTACTGTTCTTGGCCCTGCTATCTGTGATTTAATCCTTACCCCACCCTTGTACAGCAGACAAAGTGATTACTACACTCATTTCACAGAGCAAGAAATTGAGGCACCGAACTCATGGAAAGAAGAGGTAATTTGTCCCAAGGTCACCCAGTAAACAGGTGGCAGAATCTGGATTTGAACACAGGCAGCCCCAAGGCAAGACATAACATGAACAGCTATCAGAGAAGCAAGTCCAGGAGGTGGAATGGGGGTTACCTGCTAACTCAGGAATGAAGAGTGGGGGCTTAAGGCAGGGCTGTGAATACTTTAGCTCATGCTCTGTCACTGACTACGTTACATTTGCAGTTCACTCCAGGCAGATACTGGATCCCAGTAGCCAGCATAAGGTACTTGTTCTCGGTGAATAGATGTATCAGGCTTCCTTGATGCCAGGCTGTAGGATTGGTGCTGAGTGAGAAGAAATGAAAACCATAGATACTGCCCAATGACATTCATGCCAAGAGACCAGCAGGGGGACATGACAGGGAACAGCACAGACAGTCATGGGGACCTGCTGGCCAGAAGGTTGGTGTGGTTGGACTGTAGAAAGCAATACAGGGATAAGGTCCTGAAGCTGGGCAGAGCCAGACTTGAAATTCTTCTCAAGTCCATGGTGAAAGTTTTGGCCTCGAATGGGAAGCCATTGGAGGCTTAAGGAAGGGAGGACACATGGTCTGAGCCACCGAGGACAGCTCTTCCAGCGCTTCCAGAGGATGGGAGGACAGAGAGAGAACACAGAACTCTGGGAAGGCAGACGCCGGTGGCACATGCCTATATCCTACCCCTCAAGAGGCTGAGAACTGAGGATTAAAGTTCAAAGCCAGCCCAGGCAGGGAAGTCCATGAGATGGATCTCCAATTAACCATCAAAAAGCCAGAAGTGGAGCTGTAGCTCAACTGGTAGTGTGCTAAAATTAAACTAAGGAACAGTTTCCAGGTCCTGAGTTCAAGCCCCAGTACTGGCACAACAAAACAAAAATTTTAAAACCCTCTGTGAAGACAATGGAGCAAGAAGAGAAGAGGGACAGCAAGGATGGTAGGAGGCAGACAAAAAGAGTGATGGGCTCAGGTTAGAGAAAGATGGAGAATTGGTTCAGAGAGAGCTTAAGGGGTTTGGAAGGAGGGAGAGGTGGGGCAGGAAGAAACTAAAGCAGCCCAGATGGGCCAGGGAACTGAGAGGGGAAAGGAAGGGGCCTGAAGTAGCCCCAGAAGAGGAGTGGGGGGGAGGGGGGAGAGAAGGGGACTGGAGAGGACCTGGCTTGAGTTGGGGCAGACAGAACAGTTGGCCGCCTGCAGCCTTGTGCTCATGGCTCAGAAATGTCCCAGGCCTGCCAGGAGACGGCCTGGCCCCTGCAGCCCCTGCCCACCAGCCCAGACTGCTCACATCAGGAGCTCCAGAGCTGCACCGCCCCCTACTCTTCTGCCTTTGGAATGGGGCTCCCTCCACTAAACCCAGGAACACCCTCTAGGCTGATGAAACGCAGGCCAGGACAGGAGAGGGAGAGAAGAAACAGATATTTGCAGGCAGGGGGTATCAGGAAGCAGGAAGGGTGGGCTGGGGCCAGCTTGGGGGTGCCAGGGGCCTGTGGGAGTGGGATCCAGGGAGTAGTCACAGCCAGCAGGGAGTTAATGTCTGGTCTGCAGTACTTTGCAGACAGGCCTAATGAGACCCAGGTGGTCCCCTGGCCCCTGACAGTGTAAGCCGATGCTGGCCGGATTGCTGGTAGTGTGTGGAGGGGGTTCTGCAGCTCTAGGGGCGGGGTTGGGCAGCAGGCCATGGGCCCAGCGCATAACTCTGGGCGGCTGCTGTCTGAGGCCCGCAGACAACCAGCCGATCAGAGCAAACTGCCATCATGAAGGTACTGGGCCCAGGGTGGGAAGCTCCTGGCCTTGGGGGTATGAAAACCACTCATGGAGAGAAGCCACTTACCAGAGAGGGGATTGTGCAAGCATGGGTAGGGGGGAGGAGGGGGAATCTCTTAAGATCAGAGGGTGTTAGGTCTGTCCTAGAGAGTAGGGAAAGGGAAGATGGACCAAAGGGCAGGAAAGGGGTTTTTAGCAAGGGGCACTATGCTTGATGGCACAATTGCCATCAAGCTACGGGTCTGGGGCCGAGGGCTGTGCTGACCCTGTTTCCTGTCACCAGGCTCTCCTGGCCATGCCGCTGCTGCTGCTTCTCTCAACACCTCCTTGTGCCCCCCAGGCTTCTGGGATCCGGGGAGATGGTAAGCCCCCCTCCCTCCCACAGCCCCCATTCTCAGACACAGCTTGAGGAAGGAGGCTGGGTAAGGAGAGGTCTATCTGAGAGCCAGGCCTTAGGGCTGACTCAGTTTCCTCCTCTAAAGTGGAGATGTAGGTGGATGCAGTCATCTTCAAGCACCATTTCAAAAAGATCTTGAGATGTCTCATGACAGAAACTCCTGGTTCCAGTGGGGGTACTGAGGTGACCCTTTTGTCTTTGTCCCTCTCTCATTGCTGTCCCCACCTCCAGCTCTGGAGAAGTCTTGCCTCCAGCAGCCTCTGGACTGTGATGACATCTACGCCCAGGGCTACCAGACAGATGGGGTGTACCTCATCTACCCATCTGGCCCCAGCGTGCCAGTGCCTGTCTTCTGTGACATGACCACCGAGGGCGGAAAGTGGACGGTGAGTGAGAGGAGGGGACGGATGCCAGACCTGTTCTAGTCCAGGCTGGGTGACCCTGAGCTTCACCTCTGTGAACCTGTTTCTCCTTCAAAATATGGTTATTCAGGTGATGGTGGCTCACACCTGTAATCCTAGCTATTCAGGAGACTGAACAATCTTGAGGATCAAGATTTGGAAGCCAGCCTGGGCAAGAAAGTCCATGAGACTCTTATGTGTAATTAACCACCAAAAGGCCAGAAGTGAAGCTGTGGCTCAAGTGGTAGAATACCAGCCTTGAGTGAAAAAAGCTAAGAGACAGTACTCAGGCCCTAAGTTCAAGCCCTAGTATCTGCCTAAAAATTAACAAAATAGAAATAGAAAAGTGTGGTTATGCCCAAGGCATTGTTTCTGAACTAATTTTAAGTGCTTCAGTAGGCTCATGTGTGTGATCCTCACAATAATCCTAGAGGTAGGCACTTTGTAAAATGAAAAACGGAAGCCCAGAGAGTTAAAGTCATTTGATTTCATTTGATTCAGGTCACACAGCCAGATCCCTAAGCTTTTTATTTCATTTCTGGGAATAAAACATAGGGCTTTGGCTGGGAATGTAGCTTAGTGGCAAACTGCTTGCCTAGCATGCATGAAGCCCTAGGTTTGATTCCTCAGTACCACATAAACAGAAAAAGCCAGACGTGGCGCTGTGGCTCAAGTGGTAGAGTATTAGCCTTGAGCAAAAGAAGCTCAGGGACAGTGCTCAGGCCCTGACTTCAAGCCCCAGGACTGGCAAAAAACCAACAACAAACAAACAAACAACAGCAAAAAAAACCCAAACAGGGCCTTTGGGTTAGGGATTTAGTTCCGTGGAAGAGCACTGTCTGGCAAGTGCAAGGCACTGAGTTCAGTCCTTAACTCTGCAACAACACAAAAAACCTAGGGCCTCTTGCATGTTAGGCAATGTCCTACTGCTGAGCTCTGTCCCTCTCTTAACCTATCTACTCCTCAGCTGAACTGGTGAGGAGTCCAGGTAGATGCCAGTGTGAAGCAGCTACCTAGTGAGGGGCCAGTGTGCTCTTGGTTTAGCAACTTTCCCTCCCCTCCTCTCAGTCATTTAACAAATTGGCCTTGGCATCATAGTGTCTAAGCTTGGGGGGCCAGGGTCAGGTGGGGCTCCTACCTGGATGGCCCTTGGTCATGTAGTTCCCTGTCTTCTTGTCTCCAGGTTTTCCAGAAGAGATTCAATGGCTCAGTGAGTTTCTTCCGGGGCTGGAACGACTACAAGCTGGGCTTTGGCCGAGCGGATGGGGAGTACTGGCTGGGTAAGGCAGGGGCCCAAGGTAGGCAGGGAACTGCCCCAGAGCCAGGTCTTTGCTAACCAGCTGTTAACTTGTCCCTAGGGCTGCAGAACATCCACCTCCTGACACTGAAGCAGAAGTATGAGCTGCGAGTGGACTTGGAGGACTTCGAGAATAGCACGGCCTACGCCAAGTATGTGGACTTCTCCATCTCCCCCAACGCCATCAGCGCTGAGGAGGACGGCTACACCCTCTACGTGGCAGGCTTCGAGGACGGCGGGGCAGGTACCCCTCCTGTCAGTTTCTGCCAGGGCTGAGGGGGGTGGTAGGGGAGAAGACTCGGCTGTCCCTGCCCAGTTGGTCTCAAACCCCTTCAGAACCCTCCAGGGCTTGGAAGAGCCACAGCTGGCTCGAAACCAGCTCCAGCCAGTTTTTGCCTCTGTCCTTGGGAGCAGCCACCCTGGCCCTGCTCCAGGCAGTCCTGCAAAAGAGCAGCTGCTTCTCTTCATGGCGGAGGCCCAACTACTCAACATCTGGCTCAGGGACAGTGCCCTATCCTGCCAGGATGCCATGTGATGTCGCTCAGTGTCACTCATTACTGCTGTCACCCTGTCCCAGCCAGCATGGGGCTCAGTTCTTTGCCTCAGCCGTCCCGTCCTTCCTCCCCCTCTGCTAGGAGACTCCCTGTCCTACCACAGCGGCCAGAAGTTCTCCACCTTCGACCGGGACCAGGACCTCTTTGTGCAGAACTGCGCAGCCCTCTCCTCAGGGGCCTTCTGGTTCCGTAGCTGCCACTTTGCCAACCTCAACGGTTTTTACCTGGGTGGCTCCCACCTCTCCTATGCCAATGGCATAAACTGGGCCCAGTGGAAGGGCTTCTACTATTCCCTCAAGCGCACCGAGATGAAAATCCGCAGGGCCTGAGGACCAGGGTCTCATCCCTCTCCGGGCTGCCCTGTGTTTCCATAATTGCCCCACCCCGACCCCACCAGCCCCCTGCTTCTGCTGCTTCCTGAGCACCAGCTTCTCAAAGGCCTTGCAACTCCAAGCCCAGGCTGATCCCCATCACACGCCCAGGTGTCCATTTCTAACATAGGCTCTGTTCCTTACTGCCTGAGGCTAGCTAGCCAGCAGCCCCCTAGGCTTCTTCTGAGGCACAGGTGTGCCAGCCTGGATATGACTGGGCTCCATAAAACTGAGTTACTTGGACTCTTTTCCAACAGCTGAAGGCAGGAGCCACCTTCCCAGGGCTGGCTGTTATTCTCCATCTTAGCCAGCTTCCTTTTTGTGATCAGGGGCTACCTGGGGTATGCCAGGCAGCATGTGGATGGCCGCTGCCACCCCCTAACACGCCCTCTGGCTATTCTCAGACTCCCTCCCATAGTTAGCCTCTCCCTCACCCACTAATCCCCCTATGGTGTAGCCCCACCTTATTCCCCAGATCCCTGTACAGCATGTCCCAGCCCCCTAAAGCTCAATGCTGAAAACAGTATTCATCACAGCTATTATATATACCCCTGATATCGGTCGAGAGCAATGTAAGCATGCAAATGAGTTTCCCCACCTTTCCCCAAGGACTGGAGTTGGGCTATGTAAGGTGGGGAAGGGGGGCAAAGAACAATCTGCGGGGCTGGGTGTGGGTGTGGAGCAGAGATCACAATAAACCTTCAGGACCTGATGACTTGGCTCTGTGTAAACAAACATTTGTCTGCCCACCCCCGCAAGTGTGGGCACCTGGCTAATGGTGTTCTATTCCCAACTCCAAACATGACACCTGCAGACAGATGTTGAAGAGAACCTTGTATTTCACAGGTCTCATCTTGATGGCAAAAAGATCATGTCATAATAACATTACAATAATAATAAAAATTCAACACTGAAAAGGATTACTCGGGGAATGTCCGGGCCTCCCAGTCCTGTTCGGTGGTGGCTCAGGTGGCTGCTTAAGGCTTAAAGGGTGGGTCTGAGATGAACCCGCAGGATAATCCAAGCTGAAGCCTCACCTGTCAGGCCCAGGGCTGCAGCTGTCTGTAACACTCCCATAGGCCCAGCAGCTAAGCCCGCCTTGGTAACAAGTCATACACTGTGGGCCTCAGGGCTCCTGGAGGTCAGGCAGGTCAGCCAGCAACATTGGGGAGTCCATCTGGATCTCACGTTGCAGAGACTCGATGTCGGCAGGGTTCATGCCATGGCCCTCAAGCCAGTCAGCAAGGAGAGAGGCGGAGAGTGAGGCTGAGTCTGCCTGGCTGCAGGGAGAGGAAATCAGGAATGAGGGAGGGAGGGGAGAAGGGTGAGGCACTGCTACCCTGGGCTGACTTGGCAGCATCCCACAGACAACCCCTCCCACAGCCCCATTCCAGGGGCTCAGTCCAGCCATCTTACCCATCTGGTGGCCCATCAGCCACGCCCATGTCAAAAGATTGGTTTAAGAATTCCTCCAGGTCAAAGCCAACACCATAGCCAGCCCCACTGCCCTTTGGGGTGCCTGAGAACACGGGAGGCAAGGGGTCCTCCACCTGCAGGGGATGATAGCATGTTATAACACAGGTGCCATTGAGGAGAGCATCCTGACCTGATGTTGCTGACCACTCTGCCCCTAATATCCCTGAGCACCAATGCTGGCCAGTCTTTCTCCAGGACAGGCACTTTCCTGGCAGTATCTCATCTGCCTCCCAATCACTCCTTGACATAATGCCATGGAAGGGGACCCATTCAGACATAAAGCCCCACCTGCCACTCAGTTTTCATGGAACAAGGGTAACTTTCTGAGCATAGATGCAGGTGTCTCCCCAGCCCGCACCTCTCTTCTCACCTGAGACTTGGAGAGTTGCTGGGTTACCAGGTTGACATCAGGTGACTCTGATGTGGAAGGCTGAGGGGCCCCACCAGGATCTGGAGGTGGTGGGCCAGGTGGGAAGTAAGGCAGAACTCCTGGGGCATTGGGGCCAGGTAGCCCAGGGGGTGGCACAAGCGACTGGGGGGCCAGGAGGCTTGTGGAGGTAGCAGTCTGGAGTGGGGCAGGAACTGGGATAGGTCCAGGAGGGCCAGGGGGTGGACAGGCCGGCTGGGGTACAGGACCAGGGGTAGAGCCTGAAGGCTGTGGTAGGGGACCAGTGGGTTGAGCTACAGGGCCAGAGGGTGGACTAGTGGGCTGGGTTGGGGCTGGTGTAGGGGTTGGGACTGGAGCTGGGGCTAAGACTGGAGCTGGGGCAGGGGCTGGGGCAGGGGCAGGGGGCCGAGCCATGCGAGTCCACCGCTCCAACAGGCTTCTGTCATTGTCACTAAGCACCAGTCCAGCCAGGGGGTCGGTAGAGGGGCCTCCCAAAGTCCCAGTGCCCCTCTCCTTGCGCTCCCGCTCTTGCCGACGTTTCTCCCGCTCTTTGGCTCGCTCTTGCCGCCTCCGACGCTTCTCTTCCCGCTCTCGCTGGCGCTCCTGGGCTGTCACAGGTTTCCGAGGCTCAGGAGCCTCCAAGGTTGCGCTTGGACCATCTATAGAGAAGTTGGGCAGGGGAAAGATGAGAGCCTGAAGCCCTGTCTAAGCCAGAGTCCCCCATCTACCACCCTATTCCCCAGCCAGCCAGCTATTGTACCCAGAAAGCACCTCTGAGCCGGCTCCGCAAGGACTTCAGCAGGGCAGCTTTGAGAGCTGCCTTGGTATTGTCTGAGATGGCACCTTCTCTCTTTGGTGGGGCAGGCTCACTGGCTGGTGGGGGGGGCTGCAGAGTCAGATCAATGGTATCAGGTGCAGGGCCAGGGCACAGCGGTGGGGCTGGTGGGGGTGACTCCATGGCACAATCACCACTGGGAGCCCAGGGACTGGGCATCTCAACATCTGGACAGCCAGGCTCACTGGCTACAGGCTGCAAGGAAGGCTGGAAGCGGATCTGTTGGCGAATGCCCTCTCGGCGTGCATGAAAGTCTTCAATCTCAGCCACAATGGCCTCCTTAATACGCTCCCGGGTGAGGGCTTCACGATCAAAGGCAAAGTCAAAGGGTGGGGCACAATCAGGTTCATCATCAGGGTCATGGTACTTGGCCAGGAAAGGGTGACGAAGGGCAGCAGCTGCTGAGATGCGGGCACTGGGTTCAAAACGTAACATTCGGCCCAGTAATGAGAGGGCTTGGCGGTCGGCACCTGGATACACTGTCTCCCAGGGCACAGGCTGGCGTGGCGGCAGGCTCTGGATATAGGCCCGAACTCTTTCAGCTCCCACAGACTGAATCACAGCTGGCGATGGAGTACCTAGCACCATCATGATCAGCTGTAGCTGGTGTACATAGTTTTTGCCTGGGAAGAGCTGGCGCCGGGCCAGCATCTCACCAAAGATGCAGCCCACAGACCAGAGGTCGATAGCCTGTGTGTACTCATGGAGGGAAAGCATGAGCTCAGGGGCACGGTACCAGCGAGTGGCCACATACTCAGTCATGAAGTACTGATGCTCAGCTGGGGAGGTACACAGGCCACGGGCCATACCAAAGTCACCGATCTTGAGCTCACAGTTCTCATTCACCAGCAGATTGGAGGGCTTAAGATCACGGTGGATGACCTGAGCTGAGTGCATGTACTTAAGGCCCCGAAGCAGCTGGTATAGGAAGTAGCGCACATGCTCCAGTGTGAGCGGCTGTGAGGAGTGGATGATCTGGTGCAGATCACTCTCCATCAGGTCCAGTACCACATAGCTGGAAGAGAAATGAGGAAAGAGGCATGGGCTGACCTGTCCAGGCTATAGGGCCTTACGCTAGGACTCCAATGGGCCAATGACATGACACACAAGACAACTAGGTTCTATAATCTCTACAACTTTCCCACAAACTTAGTTAAATCACCATTCTCCCCTAAGCAAGTTTCCCTGCCAGATAAAAAGATGGAGCTGGGCTATAACAACGCTAGACAAGTTTAACTCTGGAATTAGCTTATTGTTTGATAGTGGCTGCCCAAGCAAAACTATGGTGAAAATTGGAAGGCCCATCCATTTTCTGTAAGAAAGTATTCTGTGATCAATTAGTGATGTCAGCTATGAGAAAAGAATGCAGTGTTGGTATGAACATCCTATATCTGCCATTCTATATTTTGAGATTCTGTAACATTTGAGATTCTCTAACATCTGTATTCTCCTTCAATAATAATGGCTGTTCCTGGCAATGTCCTAAATAAATGAACAATGGTACTGGAATCAGGAATTTTTCCAGCCTGTCGCATATTAGGTTCAGCGGCCCTTTTAGAACTTCAGCAAAATGGTCCTGGCCTTCAGAAATGGTTTCAACTATGCCTTTCTCTCCCTTCCTGCTTCTTACACAGATTTGAACTCTCCATAGGGCACAGTGGGCCTCAAGATGTCCTTAATGGCGATGATATTGTCATGTTTGAAGTGTTTGAGGATCTTCAGTTCCCTGAGGGTCCTTTTGGCATTGGTCACCACATCAAATGCATTGGGGATCTTCTTGATGGCCACCTGCTGGCCTGGAGAGCAAGGAAAATGCAGATAAGAGAGAAGTAGCTGTAAGCCCCTTTCAGTGCTACTCTTCTAAGACACAAATGCAATGGACACTATACTCAACATGTGGCAAGCCCTGTGCACGTCACATAACATCATCAAATCTTACCTTCACAACTACCTTATGAGGCAAGTATCAATAAGCTCAAAGCTATAGATGAGTCCCTGGCTTGGAGATGTTGGAATGTGCACAGCTAGTTAGTGGTAGTCTTGATTCAAATACCTGAATTCAAACTCTCTGCCTACACTCTCCACCTCCAATCTCATCTATCCTACCACCAAGCCCTTGTGCCAGTCTCCAGTTCTACAACACAGTTCTCTTTTGGGCACCAAGGAACAGCTGTCTATTCTGGTCTACTGGGATTGTCATTTTTCTAAAGGGGAAGTAGGTTGATTGGCAAAACAGAGGTCCTGAGAACGGTGACTAACTGTAAGCTGGCACTTAGTAGGGGTTGAGCTGAACCAGAATCCACAGAGCAGCTTCCCTTCCTGGCTGGCACCTCTACAAGTAGCTCAGGAAGCTCACCAGTGAGGCGGCGGCGAGCAGAGGACACCACCCCGTAGGCTCCGTTGCCTATGGTCTCGATGATCTCGTACTCGTCCCCCACGTCAAAGGTCACATCAAAGGAGCGGGCTTTGAGCAGGGCCAGGTTCTTGGCCGCGACAGAGGCAGCGGTGTGAGCGGGCTCTGCTTTCACCGGCCCGGGGGGTTCCCCAGAGCCGTCCTCGCCGTCTTCTTCCTTTAGGGGCTCGGCCATGGTGTCTGTGTGGAGATGCTGGTGAGGGGCCCGCCCCCTGTGTGCCTCGGCTTCCCCCTCCACCCCCGACTGAGGAGCAGGACTAGAAAATCTCCAAGTTCTCTAAACCGATCGGGGCCGCATAAGGGGAATAAAAAGAGAACAGCAGACACTTGAAGTTTCACTGGGAATCAGAGCCCAGAGCCCAGGTCCCGTTCGAGGTGGGGAAGGGCGCGGTGCTGTCCAGGAAGAAAGGGAGGGGCGGGGCACTTGGCGGGGCCACACTCACCGAATGGCGCCTCGCCCCCACTCCTCCTCAAGGATTTGGGGAGTTCTGGAGCTCACAGTCCCCCGCGGAGAGGATCTCCAAGAGTCGCTTACTTATTCAAGAGACGCCGCCACAATCTCAGTTTTGCGCGCTGCCCAGCCTATCTCCCCCACCCACGTCCCGCCCCCCAGGACCACACACTCCCTTCAGTCTCTGGCCAATTGCTGAGCGGACTCCACGAAGGTTCCCACCCTTTAATTTGTGGTGTCCAATCCGAGCCCGCCGGGCAAGAAAACCACGCCCTCCAGCTGCGCCCGCGCGCGCCCGCGCGCGCCCGCTACTGTCCAGCTCGCCGGTGGGAGCCGCCCAAGTGCTGCTCCTCCCTTTGTGTGTGGGGCGGGAGGGGCGGAGGTGCGGAGGTGCTATCAGCCCGGCGCTGTGCTTTAACGCATGCGCACTGGCAGCCCTGGGGACGGAGTGAATTGGAGCGCCCCTGCACGTTTGCGCGTGCGCCCCCGTCAATAGTCTCCACTTCCTCCGGACAATCACTGCTTGTCCCTCGAGGTCTGGTAATAGCCAGGCCTGAAGCGGATGAGTCCCTTGGCCATGTTACCTTGGCAACCAGATCCTGAAATCCCTCTCTTTTAGCTTTTCTTCCTTCATCAACCCTCGTCGTCTAGAGGATTGTGCTCCCAACTTTCTCGGTCCCCAGAATTCTGGGAATACCATCTTCCCCTGTAGAGAGGGACCTATCATGTCCAACCACAGAGATCCCAGTCCTCCCGGATTCTAGAGCGTCGAGTCTGAAGCAGCCACTGACTTCCGGTGGCTGGGCCCACTCCCCGGCACGCACACTCGCTTCCTGCGAGTCTGGCCCTCCTCTCAGTTTCCTGTCCGTTGCGTTTGAGTTCCGTGCAGAGGTTTCGGTAGCGGCGGAACCAGAGCCCTGTGCTTTATTCATTCATTCATGTCACACCCGTTGTTGACCGAGCACCATCCCTCCGCGGCTCTGGGCCGTGAGACCTACTTTTACCGAGAAGGTAAGGAAATACTGGTTTTGGAGTTGGAACTCTGAAGGTAGCTGGGTTTCTGCCCAGTGAAATAACAAAGAAGGGCTCTTGAAACAGCAAAAGTATGGAGGCCGAGGGACATTGTCCCTGCCGACTGAGGGCCAGGTGGACCATTATTCCCCAAAGCTCCAAAGGGTGGATCCAGACTAGAACGAATTTTGGTAAGCTTGCATTTTTGTTTATATTCTCTTATTTTTGTTTTTCTTACTTCTTACTCATACCTATTCAGAAAGTTCCACATAGCGTAAATGTACAGTTTGCGGTCATATTAAAAACAACAATACACACAAACACAAAAACGAGCATGCCGGGCGCTGGTGGCTCGTTTTTTTAATCCTAGCTACTCATGTGGCTGGGATCCGGGGATTGTGGTTTAAAAGATCAGAATTTTCCATTTTAATTGGAAAATCTTGAACCCATCTCCACGTGGCTGATGAAAAAAAGTCATACAAATAATACATACAAGTTTTACCTATTTCATCTTTTGTATACAAAAGTAGTAGATTATATTATGCATAGTTTCCTGGATAATATCTCATTCAGTAACTGAGTTGTTTTGTTTTGGTGCTGGTCCTGGGACTTAAACCCAGAACGTAGATACTGTCCCTGAGTTTCTTTGCTCAAGGCTAGCACGCTATCACTTGAGCCACAGCTCCACTTCCAGCTTTCTGGTGATTAATTTGGGATCAGAATCTCACAGATCTTTCTGCCCAGGCTGGCTTCAAACCAGGATCCTCAGATGTCAGCCTCAGAATAGCTAGGATTTGAGATGTAAGCCACCTGTGCCTAGCTTATAACTGAGTTTTTGGGGTTTTTTTGAGATGCAGTTCAGTAGCTTAAAACTCATCATTTTATAATGTACAGTTCAGTGTGTTTTACTATGCTCACAGAATAGGTCAACCATTGCTACTGTCTTATTTTAGAATATTTTCATCATCCCTCAAAAACATTAGAAATTATACTTCCTTCCCCACTTCAACTCAGGGTAACTACTAAACTACTTTGTGTGCAGGGATTTGCCTGTTGGACTTGCTATATAAAAGGAATCATAAAATAGGCCTTTTTAATCTGACTTCTTCACTTAGCATCTTTTTTTTTGCCAGTCCTGGGCTTAAACTCTGGGGGCCTGGGTGCTGTCCCTCAGCTCTTCAGCTCAAGGCTAGCACTCTACCACTTGAGCCACAGTGCTACTTCAGGCTTTTTCTGCTTATGTGATGCTGAGGAATCGAACCCAGGGCCTCATGCATGCAAGGCAAGCACTCTACCACTGCCAACTTCTGAGCCCATTCACTTAGCATCTTGTCATAGATGTTCTCTTTATTACGTGTCAATACTCTGTTCCATTTTTTTTTGGCTGAATAATTTTCAGGTTTGTTTACACATTTGGTAGCATTTAGACACAAATGATGGAGTTTTCAAAGACAACCTAAAATGGAGAATCCTTGGTCCAGGAGGTCATACTGAGAGTCTGTTCCCTGTCTCAAGGCTTGTTTGCCCACATGCTGCATGCTGAACATTTGCCTATAGGAAGGAGGCCAGTTCATATTGGAGGAGCCAGCTGGGGTCCTCATCAAGATAAACCTTGCTCTGGAATGTTGTGCATCACTTGGAAAGTGAGCTAAAATACTTTGACCAAGAGTTGTCTTTTGTCCATTACCATATCATTATATTCTCATTGTTCTTTAAAATTCTCCCTCATGAATAATTGCATGCTTAGTGATTCTTTAACAATTTTCATGTCAATCACTCCCTGTAGGCTGGTCCTGGGGAAGGACTTGATGCTCCAAGCTCCCTAAGCTTCAATAAAAGCCTGTACTGAAGTGGGAGTAGAGGTTATGGGGCAGGGGCATGGGGAAGTGGTTAATTATGGAATTGAGGGCTTATACAACTAACAACAACATGGGACAGAGAGTTACAAAAGGTATAAGGATGAAGAAGGACATGCGGAGCAAAGACCAAGGAACAGAAAAATTATAAGAATAGGTGGTCAGGGACCCTGTGGCAGAATAAACAAATCTTGGCAACAACAAAATGGGAGCAGGAGGCTTAGAAAAAATGAAAAACAATAAAAGCAGGTAGTCTGGAAAAAAGTGAAAACCTGCTTGACAACAAATGGGGGGGCACTCAAAAATCTTTGGTGTCACAACTTTACAAGAAACAAAAAAGGAGCGAGCCAGTCACCCGGTGGCTCATGCCTGTAATCATAGCTATTCAGGAGGCTGAAATGTGAAGATCAAGATTCAAAGACAGCCTGGGCAGAAAAGTTCATGAGACTCTTCAATCAGCCCCTCGAAAGCCAGAAATGGCAAAGCTTTAATTAGCATTAAGTTAAAAAGCATATGGACAGTGCCCAGGTCCTGAGCTCAAGCCCCAGTACCAGCACAAAAAGAAAGAAAGGAAATAAAGGGAAGACTGAACCCACCAATCCAAAAGCCATCCAATTCTCACTAACCCAAGCCCAAGCTCCATGACAAGGAAGACAGCAGGAGACTGCCAAGAGGGCAGACATGGGATAAACTCCCTCCCACCTTTCACATGGTGTGTCTATGGCATATCATATCTATGCCATTTGCTCTATTTCTCTGTCATATTTCTCTCCCAATAAACTTCTTTATCACGGTTACTTGTGTTCAGAATTTTCTTGCCCAACTCAAAATCCAGCATTGGTTAGGTGTTCTAAGCTCTCTGGTAACATATTTAGTGCTAAACACCCTCCACCAACACTTGCTGTTTTCCTCTTGGCCCCATCCTAGGACCCATGAAGTATGTCATGGTGGTTTTGATTTTCATTTCCCTAATTCAAGGAGGTTAGACCTCTTGGGTTTGTCCATTTGTCTTTGGGAGACATCCATATTCAGTTTGATAGATGTTACCTATTTTTAGCCAAGTCATTTGCCTGCTTGTTGAATTTTGAGATTATTTATTTTTGTGTCCATGCTGGAGCTTGAACTCAATGCCTCATGTTCTCACTTGGCTTTTTTGCTCAAGGTTGGCACTTTACCCCATGAACTACAACTCCACTTCCAGCTTTTTGCTGGTTAATTGGAGAGAGGAGTCTCACAGACTTCTCTGCCTTGTCTTCAAACCACAATCTTCAGATCTCAGCCTCCTGAGTAGCTAGGATTACAGATGGGAGCCACCAGCACCTGGCCAGAATTATATATTCTAATATAAGTACTTTACTGGATTCCTGATTTATAAAGTCCAGTTTGTCTATTTTGTTATTTGTCACTTGTACTGTGGGTGTCATATCTAACCATCTCATTCCCTTTTTTTCCCATATAGCTGCACAGTGTTCATTTACAACTGTATTTAACACAAATCCCACCAGTAGGCATTTAGATGAGTTCAGACTTTTCTATTTCTATTTGAGCAGTGCTGAATAAATTTGAGTGTGTCACGTTGCACACTGAGTTCTCTTTCTTTTCTTTTTTTTTTGGTGGGGTGGACTGGTTCTAGGACTTGAACTCAAGGCCTGGGCACTAAGCTTCAATCAGCTTTTTATTTTTGCTCAAGGCTAGGGCTCTGATACTTGAGTCATAGCTCCACTTCTGGCTTTTTGGTGTTCGGTGTTTAATTTGTGATAAGTCTCCCAGACTTTCCTGCCTGGGTTGGTTTCAAGCTCAATCCTAACATCTCAGCCTCCTGAGTAGATAGGATTACAGGCATGAGCCACCGGTACCTGGCTCCAGGTATTTTTTCAAAGTTTGGAATTGCTGTGTTAAAACTGGGGAATATACTACCCCAGAAAAATCTGACTTCTGTTTGCTTTGTGAAGTAAGATCTGTCAACATTAGACCTATGTTATTACATGTCAATACTGGGCTTGAACTCTGTCATTAAAATGGCATGAGCTCCCCAGTTTGCTGTGCTCCCCATCTCCCTAATTGCATCACCTCCCATCTTCCTGCCCCACAGGCTGAGTGCTGCTTATCATTGTGCTTGAACCACTATGTTCTACATCGTATTAAAAGCAGAAAAATGAAATGGGCTGAAAGTGTTTCCAGTAGATGAGCTCGAGCATATTCCTTTGTGGCAATGAAGACTAGAAATGTTATGTACAAAAAATCAGCTCCCTTAAATCGTATCTCCTGCCTGGCCCCTGGGCATTTGAAGATTTTGTGTCTAGGCAGCTAAAAGCCTTTGGGCAGTTCTGAGTGGAATGAATAATGCCCTTCTGAGCCACCTCTACAAACTGTGGAGGCAATACTTGGTGGGGAGAGGCTGGAGGCAAGGAGACTGCATGACAGAGCCACAGCCCAAATGGGTCTGGACTAGGCTAGGACAGGAAAATGTAGAGAAGAAAGAAGTGGGGGAGTGTGCAGGCTCCATGGTGTTGGAGTTGGGTAGGCAACAGGGATGTCTCCAGGATGGGGACACAGAGAGGAACCTCCCAGCCCCGAATTGTAACCTCTTAAAGAAAAAAGCTCTTGAGTGCCAGCCTTGAGTGAAAAGCCGTGCAAGAGTGTGAGGCCCTGACTTAAGGCTCCAGTACTGGTAAATACACACATACACACACACAAAGTGGTGATTAGTAGGAGTGCCAACCTTGGTCTGGCTAGTGAGCAACCTTCTGAACCAGTACTGCTGCCCCAAGTGGCTTGGGTGCTCACAGCGGCCTTAGCAAGTGGGTAGGGATTGTGCAGGGTAATGGGGTCTAAGGAAGGCCTTAGCCTCTCCACCCCCCTCTCCACAGCTGGCCCCAGCCCCACTTCAAAATGTCAACTGCAACTGGACACTTGTAAGATGGAGTTCAGTGTCGAAGCTGATCCTACCTCAGGAGGTCCAGAGAGTGCTGGTTTAACAGCTGGTCCTGGCACCCCTGGCAAAGCCTCCATCTCAGCAGTACAGTGCAGCCAGTCCCCCTGGCCACCCAGCCCCTATCTTTGCTCCTGTGGCCTATGAGTGTCACAACCCACGGCAACTGGAGACAAGACAATGATGGACACCAGACTGTGGAATTAAGATTTGGGTACCAGGGGCCTGAAGTCTTCCGCCAGCTTCAGGTGCTCTGGGTCCGTTTTACAAGGTATTTATTGAGTAAGGAACAGGAGCATACACAGAAAGTGAAGTCACAGTTTCCTTGAAGTCACAAGCAACAATCATGTGGAATAATGTTACTCAAGTAAGAAATAACCTCTTTAAGAAGCAGGTGTAAGCAGTAAATGACTTAGGGTTAGCATGGATTTTTGTCTGTCCCGATATTCCCAGAAAGTTTGGTGTGGAAATAGCCTACACCTGGGTAGAAATGTGAATTCCTTTCAAGCCAGGACGGATTGACCTTTTCAGGGAACTCTCGGCGTTCTGAGAGTTCATGTTGGGAGGAGTCATTCCATCCTCCCCATCCTTTCAGGTCTCACAGCTCAGCTTTTGGGGGTTCTCACATATGAGGATGGAGGCAAAAACTGAGATGGTAGAGAGGGGTGGTAGAGCCAGGACTGGGACCTGAACCTTATAGGGACAGGAATCCACAGGCATGCTGAACTTCAGAGCTGGTCCAGTAAGCTATTTGTCAGCACCACAGATGTGGGCGCACAGTGGGAGAGGTGTGGTATATGTATGGTCACAGACTGGGCCTCAGGTATTACTGGGGGTACTGTGGAGAACCCAGTGAGGTGGGAATGAGCAGTCAAGAACAGAAGGAAGCCAGGCACTGGTGGCTCACACCTGTAATCCTAGCTACTCAGGAGGCTAAGATCTGAGGATCGTGATTCAAAGCCAGCCTGGGCAGGCAAGTCAGTGAGACTCTTATCTCCAATGACAGTGTGGCTCAAGTGGTAGAGTGCTTGCCTTGAATTCAATAGCTCAGGGACAGTGCCCTGTGCCAGAGTTCAAGCCCCATGACAACCCCCCCCCAAAAAAGAAGGAAGCCCAGGAAGGTGTTTGGGACAGGGATTCTGTACAGGTGGCCGGGCATTAACCTGGTGCAAAACTGCCTGCCCCCACCTTGTCCTGACCCCTGTGTCCTCCCTTAGAGCCAAGACCACTGCAGAGCAGTACCCACAAAGATTGACCTCCAACCAGACTGCCCACTTCAAGCACCTGGCACACCTCTCCCCAACACCTGGACTGTGGTGGCGATTCCCATGAGCCTAGAGCCAGCTCCTGAGTCCCATCTTCCAAAGATCAGGCTAATCTGCACCCTCTGAGTGTTACCCTAGTTTTCTTTGGGGGAGCCTAGCCTCATTGTGTCCAGTTTGGAATGGAGACAGCCAAGTTGTGTTATTTGATAAAATCAAATAACTTGTGTGCACTACAAAGCCTAGTGGCCACAGGGAGGAAAAAATGAGGCACACACAGGGAGAAAGTAATTTTATTGGAAGAAGGCAATGTGAGAAGGGGGAAAGAGGGTCTGAGCAAGTCCCTAGAGTAGACACGCTTGTCCTGTGCAATGGATGGCACTAACACCCCCAAACCTATCTCACTCCACAACCTCTCTGGTCATGTATGTGAATCCTGGCTGCCAACAAGCCCTTCTCCCTTAAGGCATACTTGCTTGCCTGAGGGAGGGACTGCAGTCAGTCCAGGTTGGGCTGTGACCATGCCTTCTCTTTCCCACAGGTGGCTGTTGCCACCCCCAGTCTTGCATAAACTGGCCAGTAATCCATGCTTGGGGGCTGGGCATCCTTTAAATTAAATAGCTTTGCACACTTCCATTTCCTGGATCCAAGATAGGGTCTCTAATATTTCCTAGCCAAGAGAAGCCCTGGGGTCTGTCCCAGGAAGCACAAAGCAGAGGAGCACAAGTCTTTGAGTAAAGAGTCCTGGGCTGTGAATCCTGCCTTCTGTTAAATTGCTGCTGTGGTTGCGGCCAAGTCACTTTCCCAGTGAGAATCTCTTTCCTCCTCTCTAAAGTGGAGATGTCTCCATTCATTCAACAAATAGGGATGGGTGTTCACTATGCGCTGTGGCCCCGTGGGTGGCAGTCTAGCCCGAGGCGAGCCCTGGGCGGTCTGTGACAGTAAGTGCGCCCGTCGGCACGCTGCTGGGCGCGGCAAGCTGCGGGGCCCCGGAGGCTGCTGGGGGCCCGGGGAACTTACTTCAACAAAGCCCGAACAGATCCGTGTGTTCTAGACAGCAGCTCCGCTGGGTGTCCGGACGACTTCAACAAAGCCCGAACAGATCCGTGTGTTCTAGACAGCAGCTCCGCTGGGTGTCCGGACGCCGTGCGGAGCCCCTCCACGGGCCTCCGTTTCCCCAGCTTCAACTGGAGGGTAGCTTGTAAGGGTTCTCGAAGCCCCCATCAGCTCTCCAGAGGGCTGGAGTCTCAAAAGCGGCAAAGGCGCTAACACTTCATCCGAGGCACAGGCTAGTTGGCCCCAGCCGGGTTCCCCGCTCCGAATTTGGCCCAGCGCGCTCGGTGGCGGTGGACCTGCCGCGCGCCCCGGGGCCTCGCTCCGCACCGCCGTCCTCGTCCCCCCCACCCCCTCCCCCGGCGGGGTCGCAGCGACACCTAGTGGCGGCGTGGGGTTTCGGCCGTGGCTTCCGGTAGGCCTGGATCAGGCTTCTGTTCTCCATAACCCGGCTCCTTTCCGCCTCCGCGCTGGTCAAGCCAGCGGCGGTGACACGCATTCGCTGGGGCTAGGATCTATCTGTACGACTAGTGTAGCCCGCGAACGTTTCTTGAGAGAAAAGCCGGCCGCGGAACTCCGCCCCCCCAGGCCCCGCCTCCTGAGCACGCTTGCGTGCTTACGCACGCGAAATTGCCGCGGCTAGGTATGTCCCCTGCGCCTTGCCGTCCGTTTCCAAGGCAATCCCAGGTCCCCTTAGCAACCGCGCGTGCGCCCTGCGTGGCCCTCACGGGCCTGCACTCTTACCATGGCTGCAGCCGGCCCCAGCGTCTTCCTGCTCATGGTCAACGGGCAGGTGGAGAGCGCCGAGGTGAGCAGCCAGGCACCTCGCCGGGGTCCGTCCCTCAGGTTTCCCCCGGGGTCCCTTCCCTCCACTCCGCGGGGCTGTAGAGAGCCTTGCCGTTCCTTCGCGCCTGTCCGCCGGGCGCGGGAGCACCAGCACGAGAGAAGTTTGGCGCCAGCCGCGGCCCTAACGTGCAGGTGTGACAGACGTGCGTGGAGAAGTTTCGGGGTGATGCCGAGTTTGCCCTCGGCCACGCCTGTGGCTCCTGGCTCCCTTGCTTGCATCGTGTCCACTTAATTGAGCCACCGGCAGGAGTAACGAGGAGAGCCGAGGCTCAGCCAACACACTTCACAGCTGGGAAGACTTGGCTGAAAGAAGTGGGCCCGGTGCGATCTGTGGATGGCGTTTCTATCATTTGCTGGTTTAGGTAACGCTCTGCCATCCCGACACTCCCTCGTTGTCTTTTGCCTTACCAGCTCATCTCGCATACCGCCCCACGCACCCAGTGTATCCACCTCCACGTTCGCCTGGTGCCCCAGACATCTGCCCTCTTCTTTTCTGGGCTCCCAGCAGGGCTGGCTGCTCTGGGACCTCCTTCCTGCTCTGCTTCGAGCTCTATCCTGTCCTCGTAGCTTTTTATTTATTTATTTTTGTCGGTCGTGGGGCTTGAACTCGAGGCCTGGGCACTGTCCCTTCAGCTCAAGGCCAGTGCCACTTCCTGTTTTCTAGTGGTTTTATTGGAGATAAGAGTCTCACGGACTTTCCTGCCCGGGCTGGCTTTGAACCACGATCCTCAGATCTCAGCCTCCTGAGTAGCTAGGATTACACCTGCGCTCGTCCTATCCTTGTATATGATCCTTCCTTTTGGCTTCCCGGATTCTCCGACTTTACACTGGCACCATTTCCTTAGATTTCATCCATGCCCATCCCTGTGGCCCACGCGCTGAAGATACAGAAAGGCCTGGAACCTTTATAGTTACCTTTGTAACAATGTAATAAAGTTGTCAGGCAAGCTGGGCGCCTGTAATTCTAGCTACTCAGGAGGCCGAGATCTGAGGGATGCAGTTCAAAGCCAGCCTGGGCAGGAAAGTCCGTGACTCTTATCTCCAATAAACCACCAGAAAACCGGAAGTGGTGCTGTGGCTCAAGTAGTAGAGCATCAAGCCCTACGACCGACACCCCTCCCACCCCCCCACCCCCCAAAAAAAGCTGTCAGGCATTCCGAGGGAATCATGGAGATGGAATGACATCTAAGCTAGCCTAGGAGCCAGGACAGGTTCCTAAAGGTTAGGAATCTGCCAGATGATGGAATGAGAAGGACATCTGTCAGAGGGATCGGTCCAGGTGCAGTAGGTGCCTGAGACTCTCCCTCAGACGCTTCCCATCCTCAGGCCCCAGCACTTGCTGAGTTCTGTCCTTAAGTTTTTCCCCAGGTATCTCACGACCAGAATTCCTATCTACCACTTGCCTGGCCAGCACATGGGCCTCAGCTTGAATCACAGTAAACATGATCTCTTGTGCTTTTTCTGCAGTTTCCAGAATACGATGATCTGTACTGCAAATACTGCTTTGTGTATGGCCAGGACTGGGCCCCTACTGCGGTAAGCTGGGTTCTTGAGCCTCTACTACTCCTGGCCTTTTGTAACTGTTGGGGTTTCTGAAGGTGTCCTTCACACCATTCCTTTCCTTTCCAGAGCCAAACAAGAGGTAGACACTGAGGTCAGAGGGGACCCAGATAGAAGTTTGTTCCAGAAAATCTGGAGTAGAGAATACAGCCACCACTGGGCTTCCCTGCTCACTGTGTGTTTACATGGGCTAGCCAAAAGGAACACATGGTTGGAAGTGGCTGGAACTATGGGTGCTCTGGGCTATCCCCTCCTACTTGGCCTCTTTGCAGCCAGGATAGAACACCCTGGGGAGTGAGTGAAGAGAGCTCTCCTGATAAGGCTTTGGGAATCACCCCAAGAAGGGAAGAGGTTGTGGGACCCACATGTTATTGTTCACAAAGGTCTTTCTCAGTCTGTACATCAGTTTACAAAAAGGAGGCCTAGCCAGGCTCTGGTAGCTCATAATAATCCTATAATCCTCGTGACTCAAGAGGCTGAGGTTTGAGAATTTCAGTTCAAAGGCAGCCCAAGCAGAAAAGTCTGTGAGACTCCAATTAACCACTAAAAATCAAGTGGCAGAACGCTAATCTTGAGTAAAAGGGTAGTACCTAAGCCCTGATTTCAAGCCCCAAGACTGGCAATAAATAAATAAATAAAGAGGCCTAATTTAGATAGCTTCCCTGAGCCTGCTTCCTCATCTATACAACATACATATAATATGTATGTGTATATATCATATGTACATATTTTTTTCTTTTTTGGTTCAAGATCAGGAGTTGAACTCTGTGTCTGATGCTTTTATTCACTGGCTGGCGCTCTACCACCTGAGCCATGACTCCAATCCACAACTGATAAGTTAACACTTACCTTTCCACTAACCATTCATTGCACACTATTATTGAGACTGCTGGGCAGCCAGCAAAGCCAGACAAAAGTCCCTAGATCCTAGAGTTTGTCTTCTATAAGTAGCAGCACATATTCTAGTGCGTTAGCTAATGATAAGTAAGGAACCAGGAGAGATGGAAAAAAAGGAGGCTAGAATCTAGATGAGATGGCCTGCGAAGGCCACTGTGAGGTTACTTTTGAATAAAGACCTGAAGGAAGTAAGGGAACAAACCATGTCAAAGTCATGGAAAGAACTTCTCAATGAGAAGGAAGAGATAGTGCAAAGACCCTGAGTGAGACAGAAGGTGATGACATGTCTAAGAAACAGCAAGGAGGCCACTGTGGCCAGTGAACAGAGTGAACAATGAGGAGGTGGCTGAAGGAAATAGCAAGCTATGGGGATGTAGAGCTCAATTGGTAGAGCAAAGACCAGGATTTTATCTTGGGGTGATGGGATTTGGGTGTTTGGAGTTCTGTCTTTTTTTTTTTTTTTTTTTTGGTGAGTTGTGGGGCTTCAACTCTGGGCCTAGGGCCTAGGTGCTGTCCTTCAGCTCTTCAGCTCAAGGCTAGTGCTCTACCTCTTGAGCTACAGCACCATCTTCAGCTCAAGGCTAGCACTCTACCTCTTGAGCTACAGCACCACTTCCCATTTTCTGAGTAGCTTATTGGAGATAAGATTCTCACGGACTTTCCTGCCAGGCTGGCTTTGGACCACCATCCTCAGATCTCAGCCTCCTGAGTAGCTAGGATTACAGGCATGAGCCACCGGTGCCCACCCCCCCCCTTTTTTTTTTTGGCATAGTCTTACTATGTATTCCAGGCTAGCCTTGAATTTATAATTTCCTTGCATTAGCCTTTAAAGTGATAGAACTATCGCATTCATCATCATCATGCCTGGCTCTATCAGAGGGTTTAAAACACAGGAAAATGGGATGCAACTCCTGTTTTTTTTGTTTTGTGTTTTGTGCTAATACTGGGATTTGAACTGAGGGGCTTGAGCTCTCACTTAGGATTTTTTTTCTTTTTCTTTTTCTCTTTTTCTGTGCCAGTTCTGACACTTGAAGTCAAGGCCTAGGCACTGTCCCTGAGCTGTTTTTACTCAATGCTTTTTGTTCTACCAGTTGAGTCAGAGCTCCACTTTGGCTTTTTAGTGGTTACCTCCTTAGTGACTAGGATTATAGGGGTAAGCCACCAGCATCCAGTTCTCAGTAAGGCGGGGTTTTTTGATGTTGTTTAGTTTCAAAGCTGGCACTCTACTACTTGAGGCACACCTCTACTTCCAGCTTTTTGCTGGTAAATTGGAGATAAGAGTCTGTTGGATTTGTCCACATGGTTGGCAGCTTGTGATCCTCAGATCTCAGCCTCCTGAGTAGCTATGATTACAGGGCACGAGCTACCAGCACATAGCCTGTTTTTTGTGTGTGAATACACTGGCAATTTATAAAACGCCTCTTACAGAAGGCTGAGGAACAGGTACCTTGGTCATAAGAACAGCCCCTGATGGTGAGATGACCTGATTTGGTCAAGGACCCCTACCCCCCAAGGGGAGTGTGCATCCTCCAGTGTGGACTTCCAGAACTCTGGAGAGATTCTAGATCCTGGGCCTGGATAGGAAAGCTATTTCCTGCAGAGATCAGGGAGTTTCTGAGAGAGCCCTTGACCCTGACTCTTGAGGCCTTCGGCAGAAGCCTGAGTGACCAGCTGGCACAGTGCCTCCTCATAGCTGTGCGCTCAAGCATCCGACCTCAGCCTTCCACCTGGGCACTGGGATGGGAGCTCCTCGTCCATGAGGCTCTTTGGCTCCAGAAATGTCAACTCATGCCTAATTGCCAGTGGGCCTGCTAGCTGACCCTACAAAGTGAGCATATGGACATGTGGGGATACATTCAGCATAGTCAGGTGGAGCTCTATGCACACAATCACTGCATTTTCTGCTTCAGCCGTGAGCCCCTCCCCTTAGACCACAGCAGGCAGTGGCACCTCCTGGTAGCCATCTCTGTACCTGCTCTGCATAGCCGGATCCACAAAGAGCAAGGTACTGAGAAACCAGCTCTACCTTCACCCAGTCCTGGAGACAGCTTGGTCCCTTAGGGTGGAGCAGGCTGCAGTCACAAGCCATCCAGGGGGCTGGGAAGGTGGCTCAGTTGTAGAGCACTTGCCTTGCATGCCTGGGGCCCTGGGTTCGATTCCTCAGCACCACATAAGCAAAAGGAAAAAAGCCAGAAGTGGCACTGTTGCTCAAGTGGTAGAGCGCTAGCCTTGAGCTGAAGAGCTGAGGGATAGCGCCCAGGCCCAGAGTTCAGGCCCCACGACCGGACCCAAAAGAACAACAACAACAAGCCATCCAGGTATCCAGGCTGTTTCAAATACAGACCCCAGAGCAAGGGTGGTGTGCCAAAGGCCACAACTGTTTTTTTGTTTTGTTTTATTTTTTTGCCAGTCCTGAGGTTTGAACTCAGGGCCTGGACACTGTCCCTGAGCTTCTTTTGCTCAAGGCTAGCACTTTACTATTTCAGCCATAGTGCCACTCTGGCTTTTTCTGTTTGTGTGTGGTACTGAAGAATCGAACCCAGGGCTTCATGCATGCTAGGCAAGCACTTTACCACTAAGCCACATTCCCAGCCCCCACAGCTGGTTTTAATGATGGCCATCACCATCTCCATTTCTCCTCTTCCCAGCCACAAGAACATGGGGTATGCAGAGGTCTCAGCCATCCTCAAGAGCACCACAAACTGAAAAAAATCTAAAATCCAGACAAGCATTTATTCTGTCCCTGCCTGGGGAGGGGATACACAGAGCCTGCAGAAAAAGGCAGGTGGGGGGGGGAGGGAGAGGGAGGAAGACTGTGAAAGACAGTCCAGAGGCCCCAGAGGGTATATCTGGAAGGCAAGGCGGGGCTGGCAGGGCTGCCTTGGCTCTCCAAGGTCACCAAGTTCAGGTGGGCTGAGGAGGGTTCTGGAAGCCGCCTCCCCCAAGGCAGGCCCAGCCCCTGAGGCCCCTGACCCAAGGCTTGGAGCTGTCCACCTCATGTCCTAGCAGGGAGGCAGGGCCACACAGCCTGACTTTTTAAAGGTCCCTCTAGCTTCTATGCCAAGACTAGTTTTCCTGCTGGACTGATGTGGGATGTAAGAGAAAGGTGTGAAGAATACCAGATATCTCCTGAGTCCCTTGAGGGAGCATAGGTGTTGGTTCCACAAGAAGACTGCACACGAGCAGATTCAGAATTGTCTGGTCCAACAACATGTACTCGACAGCCAGGTGGAGACACAAGGCTGGATGTAGGAGAAGTGGGAATGATGACCTGGAGCTCAGAGAGATCAGAAACCAGTGGGATTACAGGTACAGGTAGAGAAGCAGCCAGAGACGGAGCCTTGGGAGTCACCCCATGAGGAAGAAAGCTCCAGAGACCAGTGCTTTGGAAACCAATGGAAGAAAGCACACCAAGAAGCAGACATAAAGCCAAGAGCCCATGATTAATGCCTTAATCCTAGCTACTCAGGGGCCTAAGATCTGAGGATCACAGTTCAAAGTCAGCCTGGGCAGAAATGTCTACGAGACTTATCTTCAATTCACTAGCAAAAAATAAAGCTGGAAGTAGAGCTGTGGCTTTAGTGGTAGTATACTAGTTTAGACACTAGCCTAGAAGCTTAGGGACAGTGTCTAGGCCCTGAGTTCAAGCCCCAAGACCAGCACAAAAATAAAAAGCAAACTAAGGTTGAGTCACCTACCTAACAAGTGAGAGCCCTGAGTTCAACACCCAGAACCACTAAAATGAGAGAAGAGAGAGAAAAAAGAAAAAGCAGATTAGCTGAATGTGGTGATGTAGACCTCTAATCCCAACATTTGGGAGGCTGAGCTGGAGGATCCAGGTCAGCCTGGGCTTCTATATAGATCACATCTCATGAGTGAATGAAAGAAACAGATCAACTTCCAAAAGTGACCTGCTCTGTCAGACACTGCTGGTAGATCAGGTAAAATGAGGGTAGAGAAGCCAGTATTGGGTCCCAAGGATACTTTGTATGAACCCTTTGGTAGGAGGAGCCTGTAGTCACATAGCAGTGGGTTGTGAGAACAGCACAGAGGCATGGCAGCCATACCCATGAATGTATAGCTCTTCTTCCAGGGAGAATGACTAGGCAAGTAGAGGAGTGGATTTTTTTGTGTGCATGGTAGAGAAAATAACATATGTGTGCTGATGGGATGATCTGGGAGAGACTGGTCATACAGCAACCTATAAACCTTGTTATTGCCACTTCCTTTGGGGGCAAGAGGGGTGACCTCCCAGGTTTGTCACACCCTAGAGAGAATGCATTAAATTACCAGGTCTAAACCAGGCACTTGGCATATATCTGTAATCCCAGGACTCAGGAGGCTGAGGCAGGAGGATGGTGAGTTTGAGGCTAGCCTGGGCTACATAGCAATACCCTGGCTTAAAAAACAAAACAAAAAAAAGAGGCAGATCTAAGAGTACTCTGCATCCCTTAGTTCTGTTTGGAATATCTGGTCTCAGTAGAAGCAAACAGCCCTCCAACAATTGCCTCTCAACGTAAGGAGAGTAGGGAGAGGAACTCGGACCAGCTGACCGCCACCCCCCCCCAATTGTCCCCACAGGGTCTTGAGGAGGGCATCTCACAAATCGCATCCAAGAGCCAAGATGTGCGGCGGGCACTGGTGTGGAATTTCCCCATCGACGTCACCTTTAAAAGTACCAACCCCTATGGCTGTGAGTCAGGCCCTAAGAGTGGGGAGCTCTCCATGGTGCCCCTGCTGCCTCCTGTCCACTTCTTTCTCATCCCCCCCGAACCCCAGTTCATTTCTTCATGCTGTGCACCTGACCTCTGCCATTTGCCATGCTTGTGAAGGTTGGGCAGCCTTGGAGCCAGGTGCACAGGGTTGCGGCTGCTCAGCCTGGAAACCTGACTCTGTCCCAGCCTCCCACAGCATGTTGAACTCTAACCAGGACCAACACTGGTTCCTCCTGTGCCAGTCCCCAAGTGCTTTCTTCTGAGCCTTTGCTCATCCTCTTCTGTGTGCCTGTGCGTTTCCAACCTTGTCTCACCTTCCTACCAAGGACTTCCTTGCTTGACATGTTTGCTTCCTGCCCTGTCTGGTGGCTCCTAACCTCTGTGCTATGTTCTGAGTTTAGGAAGATGTGTGGGTTTGTCGAAGCTCTTATCCTACCTACTGGCTCCCTAGAGTTCTCTCCCTTACTTTCCCTCTATTCAACAGTGATGTCCTTGCTGCCAGCTTTACATCTGAGTACATACTTGAATTGCAGGCCTGTCTGCTTTCATGCATGACCTGGGCCTTCCTACTGCAAGTTGCCTGGGCACTGCTTCCCAGGCACACAGGGTCTGGAATGCAGGCTGCATGGTAGTGTCCCTGGGCGGGGACTTCCACCTGCTCTCTTCATCCAGGAGTGATAAAGTTCTATAGGTTTCCTGGGACAGTGCTCAAGCCAGTTGGCCCAACCTCCTGCTGAGGACATCTGGGAGAGAGGAGTGAAAGACTGAAAAGCAAAGCCAAAACCCAACTCATGAAGGTGCTAAAGAGCTAGCAAAGTACTGGAGACTTTCCAGGGCAAGTTCCAGGAGAGAAATAAAAATCAGACATGTGCCCCAATCACTTCATCTCTGGGTGTTTGCTGAGTCCCCAAGAGGTGACTGAGAGGCCCACAGACCTCAGAGATAACAGCACTTGGCTAGCATGCACAAATGGCAGGATTGCTATGCCAAAGCATGGGGTTATAGAAGCATAGTGTGGTAGGGCCTTGCGGAGCTGAGCACAGTCCTATATGACTTTCTTTCTTTTTTCTTATTCAAATTCTTTTTTTTTAATTGTGAAAATACTGTACAATTACATGGGCAAGATAATGAGTACATTTTTTTTTTTTGGGGTCCGGTCTTGGGCCTGAACTCTGGGCCTGGGCGCTGCCCCTCAGCTCTTCAGCTCAAGGCTAGCGCTCTACCACTTGAGCCACAGTGCCACTTCCGGCTTTTTTTTTTTTGCTTATGGGTGCTGAGGAATCGAACCCAGGTCCTCAAGCATGCAAGGCAAGCGCTTTACCACTGAGCCACCTTCCCAGCCCCAATGAGTACATTTCTTATCAAGCATTGTAGCCTCCTCCTTTGTTTCCCCTTCTTATCCCTTCCCATCCTCTCCCCCCCTCCCACCCTATCCTCCCCGCCCTCCCCCCCCACACCAAAATTGTAAAGTTTGTTTTTCAACATAAGGACTTGTACTTCTCATTGTTGCAATGGATAAACTATATCCCTATTTAAACGACTTGTTTTTCCCCTTCCCCTCTACAAATTATACCGACATCAAATACAGTGAAAGCAGGGGTTATACTATGGGGGAGGGACATACAAAGCAACAAAGAAATAATCTTGTAAATGTGTTAGAAACAATTGCATGAAAGAAACTGTATGACTTTCTTGTATGGCCAGCTGTGCTATGTACATGTGTGCCAGGAAGGAGCCTGTACAACAGTGACTTGACTCGGTCATGTTTGAACCAGCTCTGGAAGGAGGGCCAGCTGCTTTTTCCCATCAGCACGATCATGAAAGGGAACAAGCCCTGTGTGTTAAAACTGAGTGAAGTTTACTAACATAACATTGACTTAAAGAGGCTGGCTACAACTGTGATACTTATAATCCCAGCTAGTCTAGAGGTAGAGATTCAAGGCCAGCCTGGGGAAAAAGTTATTAAGACTTCATCAGAATCAATAAGCCAGATATAGTGGAATGTACCTCTTAAGTGCCCAGGCACTTAAGAGACAGTAGGTAAGACTCCCCCTCCCCATCCAAAAAAAAGTGAGAACTTTAAAATAAATGCTGAAATGGGCATGACTCAAGTGGTAGTGTGTCTACCTAGCAAGTATGAGACTGAAAAAAATCTGAATTATGTTTACCTTTGGTGGAAGAGTGATGGGAGGGTACAAACTTCTTAAACCTTCATTGAGCACTTCCTGATTATTAGGCTATTTCAGGAGTGTGTTGTTGTGTTTTGGCGATACTGGATTTTGAACTCAGAGCTTGTGCTTATTTGATTTGCTTGCTTGCAGAGAGGTTAGGTAACTTCCCTGAAGTCACTTAGTAGTGACCCTCCCTAGTGACCTGGCACTTGTGGTGATCTGTGCTCTCAGAGAGGACAAAGAAACATGCACAGACACCTAATGGCCTCTTTGGATGTTAATAGGAAACAGTTGTAATAATTATTTCAAGCCAATGTTCCTGGGAGGTCTGGCTTTCTCTGGCCCAAAAGCCCATGCTCATACTCCAGTGTGGCCACCTCCATCAGAGAAGGCAGGCAGGAAGTAGGGAGCGGGCTCTGACCACAGCTGGGACCTTGCCTGGCATCAGGGCTCCAGGGGGCACCCCAGGTCTGCTGAGTGTGTTGCAATGGCCAGCAGGTTGGCCCTGTCAGCACAGCTGAGTTGGGGTGCGGAGAGTGCCCTCCAGGCTACCAGGGCAACAGGAAGTAGCAGGGTGGTCAGCATCCTGTTGTCCCCACTACCCCAAGCCTGCTCCTCCCAGTGCAAAAGATACCATCCCGTGATGCATTGCGTCCTGCTTCTGCCTGTACCATCCCTGCTCCATGTACCAACCCCTGCCTTGTCCTTTCCAAGGGCCACAGATTGTGCTGAGCGTATATGGACCAGACGTGTTTGGGAATGATGTGGTTCGAGGCTACGGAGCGGTGCATGTGCCCTTCTCACCTGGCCGGTAGGTCCTCACTCCGATGTGGTCCCTGGAGTGCAGCCTGTCCCTTGCTGGCTATGGGACCAGGTCCCTGGACAGCTGCCCATCCTCTTCCATCTTGGGCTGCAGCCAACCATGCCCTGGGTCAGTTCAGTGGAGGAAGTCAGGTGACTGTGGCCTCTATCTGGGAGGAGACTCGGGTAGATGCCAGCCTAAGGCTGCTGGCCAGACACCAGGAGAGAAGGACAAGAAGTGAGCCAAAATCTGGGTGCCCGTGGCTCACATCTGTAATCCTATCTACTGAGGAGGCTGAGATCTGAGGATTGAGGTCTGAAGTCAGCCCAGGCAGGAATGTTGGTAAGACTCTTATCTCCAGTTGATCACCCAAAAGCCAGAAATGGAGCTGTGGCTCTAGTAACAGAATGACAGCCTTGAACAGAAAAACTAAGGGACAGTTGTCCAGGACCTTAGTTCAAGGCCCAGTACTGGTACCAAAAACAAAAAACAACTGTGCTGGGAAACGACAGACTTTGCAGAGCTTCATTCCGTGAGGCCAGGCATGCATCTTGACCGACCCAGCAGCAGCCACACACCTGATCTGCTCCTGTTCCCACCTTGCCAGTGTGGGCTACTCAGCAAATCTGTGAAAATGTGCTTCAGGTACAGAAGGACCATCCCCATGTTTGTGCCAGAATCCACGTCCACACTGCAGAAATTCACAAGGTGAGTTTCTCCTGGCCTAATGGGTAAATGGCCAGCATATTCCAGCCCCCCACGTTCAGGCTCTTCCACCTACTGGGGACAGATGGAAATTGCGCTATGGGGCCCAGGGAGTGGGGCTGCTCATATTCCCTGGGCTCGCTTGGGCCACCATTCTGGCAACAAAATGCTATGCAGTCTTCTGTGTCCTTTGTGTCAGATGGAGAAATGCTCACAACATAACGTACTGTTAGGGCCCATTGATGGGAGCCAGACTCCTAAGAACAACTGTCATCCAGGGACTACCTGTTACACAGCCACTGGATGCCTCTCCTGCGGGAGCCTTGGAGAGGAGGAGGCTTCTGTGGGGACTAAACTGGAGCTACTTGGCTGCCATAGGTCTGGGCAAGAGCACCCCAGATGGGGTCAGCAAACTCTTTCTTAGGAGCAGCAGGTCACTGTGGGCAGTATGAGGTGAGCAGGTGGGGTGAGGGGTGTGGGGGAGTCCGGCTGTGCCAGGACACGGGGCCTGTGGGGAGGGCCTGGAAGTCTAGAGGCAGCCCAGGTGTAAGACTCATGGGTAAACCTCTTACCCATCTGCATAGAAGCTTAAAGGACCACCCAGGCCCCAGACAACTGACTGGAAGTAGGTCTGAGTTCCTGTCAGCCTGGCCCCACTAGAAGCCTCCACTGTACCCCAAAAGGGACAATATGCAGGGAGGATGAGGACACACTGAAGTTCCCAGTGGCAGCCAGGGAGCAGCCCCCTGTAAGCCTGGCTGGGAGTAGGACCCAGTCAGAGGCCTGCCGAGTGGAAGCTGGCCCAGCTAGAGCCCACATGGTGCCCTTCAGAGAAGCGGGGCAGCATTCTGTCATGGCCTAGCCCTGGAGCTCCCCAGGGAGCCTCAGGTGGGAAAAGGCTTCTTAGCCAGAGGCCTGAGCCAGTGGTACTTGGAGGTAACACCACCAGCCCCAGGGCTATCAGAGGAGCAGGGGCCAGGGCATGCCAGTAGACTCTTGAAACAGAAGGGCTTTGAGAGTCCACAGGCTGTCACTTGTTCTACCTGGGGGGGGACACTGTCTCCCCCACCTCCACCCCTTCCAGCATCTCATGGATGCTTGCCTTCCTTCGCTTATGGCCGCATCTCTCCAGGCTCTGCCTCCCTGGTCACAGGCATCCTCCTGTGAATTATGTCTCCTTTATAGGATTACATCTTTTCACATATGTGTGCTAGTACCAGGGCTTAAACTTGGGGTCTTGTGTTCTCTCAGCATTTTTGTAACTGGGGATAGTCTTAGTCTGCCTGTCTGCCTGGGCTGGCTTTAAACCTCAATCCTCAGATATCAGTCTCCCAAGTTACTAGGATTACAGGTATGGGCCAACAGTACAATGAGGACATTTGTATTATACTAGAACCCTACTGGGTAATTCAGATTAACTTCTACATGACAAGACCCTTAACTAAATGATACCTCCAGAGACCTTTTACTGGCAATCAGACTGCAGTGTTTCCAGGGTCTAGGACCTTATCTCCCTGGGGACCTGTTCAGTCTCTTGTCACCCGCCCCTTCGTACAGCAGCCAGGACAACATTTCTACAAGGCCATACCTGCCTGTGCTTAGGACTCACTAAAGCCGGAATGCCAGAGCCCAATCGGTTTGCTGGTTTCTCCACCATTTGCCTCCCCTCTGATTGTACCTCACCTGCCTAGGGTTCCTGAGACCCATGTCTAGAATATTCTCCTCTGGATAGTCTCTTTGCCCAGTCAGATGAACAGGTGGCCCTGGCAGACTCAGGAGAGAATAAAAAATGGGAGGGTGGGATCTGCCCTTGTGCAGAGACTGCTCTGCAGCCTCAGTCCCCACAGGATCTGAAGGTGGTGGCTTCTGCAGTGCACAGCTGCTAGGGGAACTCTAGCTTCCATGTTTGTCCGTCCGCCCCCTTCCTCAGATGGGGGTTGGTCAGCAGGGCTCCCTCACTGGTGTCCACTATCTCCTGTGGCACTGTGGTGGAGGGAGCAGAAGAGCTGAGCTCAGGGACCTGTGTAGCATTGTGGGTAGGGACGCCTGGCCCCAGCCCCACCAGGGCCAAGTGTGGGTAGGCTGTGGCACACAGCAGAGGACCTGCCTGGAGTTGCTGTGGGGAGAGGGCTGGGCACCTTGCCCCACCCCTGGGCAGCCAGGAATGCAGGGGGAGCTGCCAAGCAAGGCTTTGGACCCACTCGCTAGGGATAGTAGATCTTGTTCTTTCCAGCTGTAGCAAGTGTGTTGGAGGCAGAGCCCAAGTGGGGCACCTCCTGCTTCCAACACCAACACTGTGGCCTGTCACCAGGCATTTGCAGAGCAGGGCTCCTGAAGGTAAATTGGCAGCAGGGCCTGGAGCGGCCTTTCGCATGTGACTGGAGTCACCCATGTCCAGAGGCCACATCCTAGCTAGGAAGGGCAAGGTTTTATATGGCCACTACAGGGGTGCCTTCACCTCACAGCTCCATCATTATCCTTATTTTAGTTGACAAAATTAAGACTCAGTGATGGGAGGTGACTTGTCCTACCAGGCTGGGAACCTAAGTCTGCCCCTTCCTGGGTGAGGCCCTTCTTCCTGAAGAGGCTGGGGAGTCACATTGCCCTGTTTGCCCACCCACAAATAAGCTATCACCTTTTGGGGATTCCCAGCTGGGTGTAGGCTGATCCTTTACTCAGCTCCAAGCTGCTCTCAGCTCTCATTGGTAGGGCTCAGGCCCATGGCAACCAAGTTGGGGAAGCAGAACACTAGCTATAAGGCTAGGGCTGTAGACACCAGAGGCCTCCCAGAAGCCCTGCTGGGCCTCTGCTGACTGCATGATGCAGAAGAAACACACTGGCACCCAGCCTTGCCCAGCCTCACCTCTCAAGACAGGATGGGAAGGCTCTGCCCAGACCTACCTCCTAGGAGAGAGTTGCTGAGGATTAAAGCCAGGCAGGGCTCTGCTCACCAGTCTTCTCTTGTGTTCCCTACCAGTTGGTTCATGGGACGCCGGCCCGAGTACACAGACCCCAAAGTGGTGGCTCAGGGTGAAGGCCGAGAAGGTAAGAGTTTGATACTCTCACCCTTGTCCTGGCCAGGCAGGCTGGAGCCTGGGGAGGGGTGAGGTGGGCCCCAGTGCCTGGGAGCCTGGAAAATAGAGTACTGGAGTAGCCCCAGAACTCTGAAGCCACTTCCCAGATGAGGGCCTTGCTGGAGTAGAGGGCTCGCCATATCTGTGTGCACTGAGCCTTTCAACACAGACTGGGCACTGTCATCCCCACTTTACAGAGAAACACTGAGGCTTAGAGCAGCCTTAGTCTGTCTGCCCAGCTCAGCAGGCTGATGCCACCTTTCTGTCTCCAGTGACCCGTGTCCGCTCCCAGGGGTTTGTCACCCTCCTCTTCAATGTGGTAACCAAGGACATGAGGAAGCTGGGCTATGACACGGGACCCCAGAGTATCCTGGGGCTCAGCCCGGCCCAAGGCATCCCTCCATGAAGACCTCAGCTGTCCTCCGGAGTCTGGATAGTGCACTGTGTGGCTCCCACATACACAAGAACTTTTCCCCTAGGTCAGCCACAGACCCATTGGCCTCAGGTGTGACCTGTGATGCTGGGGTGGGCTGTGGTAAAAACTATGGGGTTTTATATAATAAATATTTTGAGAGAGCCCGGGCCTGGGACTGCCTTCTCTCCCTTTTATCATCGCCCTGTATAGGAGGCCACAGGGAAAGAGCTTTACCATCACCTTGGTTCTACTGCTTGGGGCTGCAGAGCCTTGTTGCCTCAAAACATCCCTAAAATGGGCATGGATTTAAAAGTAGTCCCTTGCCCGGTGCTTGGTACTGTGTTGGTGCTCTGTGATGCCAGACTCCCTTGGAAAAAGGAGAGTCTTGTGAGCCGAAGTCTGCCCTGGGGCTCACATCCTGCTGCATATGCTTAGGGCCGGGAGCAGACCCTCCCCATACACCTTCTCTCCAGAACTCTGCCCTTGTTCCTCCCTCCTGGCACTCCCTCCAGGCCCCACCACCACTTCTCATCTTCCTGGGGGGGGGTCCCCCAGCTGCCCCTTGGGAATGCATGAGACCCCTGTCCTCCTCCAGTCAGCCTCAGCCTCCATCCAGGCTCTTAGGAAACAACTGGACTTGAGGCCGGCCTGGGTGCCTCTACCTCGAAGTCCTGTTTCCTCTGTTTGTGCCCTCCCCTCACCCCGTGCCAACTGGCCTGTCACTGCATGAAGCCTTGGCCCTCAGGACCATTCAAGCCTGTCACCATTGCTATCTGGCAAATAGACATCCTCTTCTAATGATCACCAATTTTCCCCAAAGTTCAACTGTCTCAAGAGCAAGTTGAAATAACTTTTTTTTTTTTTGAGTCCGGTCGTGGGGCCTGAACACTGGGCCTGGGCGCTGTCCCTCAGCTCTTCAGCTCAAGGCTAGTGCTCTACCACTTGAGCCACAGCGCCACTTCCGGCTTTTTTCTTTTTGCTTATGTGGTGCTGAGGAATCGAACCCAGGGCCTCTGGCATGCAAGGCAAGCGCTCTACCACTGAGCCACCTTCCCAAGTTGAAATAACTTTATAGTGAATGCCACACAAATTCTACCATCTGTACTACTGTGGCCATGTCCCTGCGCAGGTTCCACATCTAACAGATGAAAAATACTAGGAAAACAAATTGTGACTGTCTCGATCGTGTATGGCCCTTTTTTGTGGCGGCGGTGGGGAGGGTGGTGAAGGGGGTCATCAGTAACTGCCCACATAGCCTAGAGAAGAGGACATGCATGGGTTACATGCACACATCACACCATTTACGTGAGGAACTACAGCATCTGGAGGTGGGGGGAAACCTGTCCCCCAGTATTCTGAGGGACGAGGACTGTACTTGTGTTTTCCTATCTATCCAAATACTCCTCTCCTGAGTCCATCCTGGGCTTACTGCATTCCAAAGTAAACTTCAGACAAGTACTACGCCCCAAGTTCAATTCGAGTAAAAAGGTAAACGGAGCATCTTAGCATTAACTGGAGTTGATATACTTTCAGTTACTGCCTTCTTTTGGGGGAACATTTATAACTACAAAAGGTCTCTAGGTATGCTATGGGCTAGGTTTTGATCAATGCATACCCCGGCTCTGATCAAGCACAAACCTGTCATCTACTTCTACCCATCAATGACAGACATGAAGTACTTCAGAGGCTGATAACTCCAGTGCATACCAGGGCTATGGGGAGCAGGGTGGACATGTGTGACCATCTAGATGGAGGGCAGCTATGGCATATGGTCCCTGGTTCACCCCTTACTTGCTGTCACATAACTGTGTCCACAGTTTCGCTTCTCTCCTGGTCTTATGGGAACACTACATCTCACAAGTCCTTAGTGTTGCAGGGAGAGGAGTCCACATGAGGTCTATGTAGCTTGAGCCCAGTATAATGGCTCACACCTGTAATTCTAGCTCCTGCAAAGGCTAAGATCAGGAAAATTGCAGTTGAAGCCAGTTCAGGCAAAAAGTTCACAAGACTCCATGGCAAAACAGTGAAAAGCTGGGCATGTTGGCATGTAACATCCCAGCTTCATGCAAAACATGAAGAGGATTCACAGACCAGACCATCTGGGGCAAAAAGTAGGACACTAGTTGAGAAGTAACAAAAGCAAAAGGAATGACAGCTACAGCTCACTGTACTGAGCTGCAGGCACATTCTCCCTGAGGCTGTGGAGCTCACAGCTCTGGGTGCTGGGAGGAGGAATGGATGGTAGGATGTGCCAGGGAAGTTGGCTGTGGTCTGCAGCAACTGGGAAGCTATTGCAGGAAAGATGAGCTCAGGAAAGAACGGGCCAGTCTGTGAGCAGAAATGAAAGATAATAAAAAGCAGCTAAAAAACTGGCATTAAGGGACTGAAAAAGGAAGTGGAGCTATGGCTCAAGTGGTAGAGTGCTAGGCTTGAGCAAAAAAGCTCAGGGACAAGTGTCCAGGTCCTGAGTTGAAGTCCTTGGACAGGCACAATTAAAAAAAATCATCCTTGCATATTTTAGCAACATTAAAAAAAAAGGCTGAAAACAATTCCAATGGAAAGCAAAGATTGAAAACTGCGTTGAACAATTAAAACCAAGCAAAAATGAGTCCTCATCTGAACACACAGCCTTCATGGTTAGTATCAGATGAGGGGGTTCCAGGTGATCACCCTGTGGAATTACCACTAGGAAAGAAGCAGGGGAAGGCAATAAGGAATTAAGGCAGGCTCTTGTGTGAGAATTTTCTGTGTGCTTGTCTATTGCTGAGTAGCAAACCACTTCAAGATTCAGAGTTGGAAACAGCCATTAGTATCATTCATGATGCTCAGAATGGCTGGCAGGCAGTGGGCCACATGGTGCTCTTATACTGTGACCCAAGTCTGAGAGCTCATCTGGGGTACTTACTACCAAGTGGGGAGCCGGCAGCCAGTGCCATAATGACCAGTCCACATGTAGCTGTCCAGCTCTTACCTGCATCATGCTTAAAATCAGCCCAGTCCACGAGGATGAAGACTCACTGGAAGAGATGCTTCCCTTCCCCCGCAGGGGCCCAAAGTAACTTCCTGCCCCACTAGCATCGTCATTTATTTGTACATAAACCTGACTGGAAGCAAAGAAATGAAGAACCTGACCAGGTCTGGCGGGCAGTGTGCTTCCCAGGACCTGTGTGTGACCTGGACAATGCCTGTGCCTTAGCACTTGGCCAGGGACACAGTCAACATCCCTGGCTTTGTCGGGTCCTTCTGATAAGGTGACCTCAAAGGGCTCCAGCACCTTCCACCTGTGATACTGGGGTAACACCGCTGCTGGGCTGCTGGTTATCAGGGGAAAGAATGAGGGGCAGACCTCTGCCCCACAGACTCGGCAGGATACAAACGAGACCACCGGTGTGTGGGAAGAGAGTTTGGTGAGTAGAGGGCACAAGAAAAGTCTGACAGGAGACAGGGTGTCATAGAGCAGTGCCTGGGTGGCAGCAAGACACAAGGAAGCAGAGCACAGGGGGCCTCTGAGAAGTGACTGCCACCTTGAGGCAGGCAGGCCTCCACAGCCCCGGGCCCAGTCTCACTGGGCCACGCACCCACAGCACTGCAGCCACCCTGCGGTGGCACCCCAAGGACAACACCCCCTCCACCAGATGGAGCCTCACCGACTGCAGCCTAAGCTGCTTCCCCAGCCCTCTCCCCATAGCAGGAGATGGGTAGAGGTGTGTAGGGCAAGGACACAGCTGGAGACCGCATCATGATACAAATGATAAATTATATTTATACAGTAAATAAGTATCAACAGTCAACACAAGTTCAAAAGCAGCCACTGGCCCCTGGGACTGTGAGGCATAGCTGGTGACTTCTTTCACCATGGTACTTATCAGGAGGGGCACGGTGGCATGTATATCACACGTGGCAGTGGCCGGTGGCTTCATGATCAGTGCAGTGGATAACAGGGACAGCGTGTGGGCTTCGGTCCCATCAGGAAGGGCTCTTGCTGCTACAGGACAATCACTGGACCCAGGCAGTGTTTCTGGAGTGCTGGCCTGTGGCCCAGGCCCCACATGTTTTGGGGAAGCACCGTCCTGGGCAGGCATATCTACCTTCCCTAGGCAGAGGAGCCCAGCCACCAACCTTCCTGAATGGCATGGGAGCCACAGCCCAGGCCTAGGCCCTGGAAGGAGTGGCTGGTAAGGAACTTGGCCTGAGCAGCCAGAGGGGCCTCCTGTAGCCCTGAGACCACTCCGGAGCCCCTCCTATGTGGTGCTGAGGATCGGATCTTCTGAACCAGAGAGGGGCTGGAAGGAGGGTCTGCTGCCCTTGGAGCTGGAGGTGAGAAGTCCGCATTGCAAGGTGAGCTAGGAATGCTCACCAGACAAGCGGCAGGACACAGCATTGAGGGCTTGTCCCTTCCCTGGGGAGAACAAGTTAAGTCTCTTCTGCTGTGTAATTTGGGACATAACACTGTAGTACAGTAGTGGGAAGGGTAAGGACAGCAGGAGGTCGGGACAGGGAAATAATCTTAGTGCATGTTTGTTAAAAGTCCATCCCAAGCAAGAATGGATGTTTTCTGTCTCCCGATTAAGAGATGATTAGTTCTCAGCAGCCTAGGCCTGGAGCTGCCAAGTAAGACAGAACAGGGCCAGCCTTGGTCCCCTCACCTGTCTAGGCGTGGGGACTACCCTCCCAGGGACTGTGGGCAAAGACTCCCCACCATTTCCACACAATCCCCCCCAGTAACCTGAGCGTGGACAGAGCCAAGGAGCTAGGAGAGCCAGGGAGTGGAGCCACAGCACTCATGGTCTCCCCACTTCCCATCCACTGTAAACAGAAGTCCCTGTTGATCCCTGCAGGCCCCACTAAAAGGGAATTAGTTGACAAAAACTATAGAGTCACATTCATATGTTAGATTTTTTTTTTCCTTTAACTTTCAGGATGTTGGTATATTGGTAAGAAAAAAGCTTCTCTTGGGGTCTAGCCCAAAAGACTGAGAGTCATTTGGTTTGGTAATTCTCCAAAAACAGGGAGCCAGAGAGAGGAAAGGCAACTGGAGGCTGAGTTCTTGTTGCTGTTGGAATTGTGTGTTTAAATATCGTTTTCATGTAATCAAATTCTCATATTTTTTCCTATAAAGAATTTGCTTTAGTTTTTCCATAAGGCATATTTTTGTCATCCAAATATCTCTCCTTTTTAAAATTTTCTTAAGAATTAGACCATAAATAAGAGAATTTAGACCACTAAAATGACATGTGCCAAGATCTTAATTCAGCCAGACCTGGTAAATTCTATCAAAACTAGACAGTTAAATAAGAACCACGTTATAAAAATATTAGCCAAAAAAAGACTATTAGATAATTCTGCAAACTCAAATATGAAACTGTACTAAACAAAATATGTGCAAACGTGTACAAGCATAGAGCCACGTGGCAGGGTTATGCTCAGATTAGTTTTAAAGCTCGCTCTAGTGGGTTTAATTTGAGTTGTCCACGGTGGTAGTGTACTCTGAACTCACAGGAGTCAAAAGAAGTAAAGAGACTCACAGCCACTTCCCCTAAGGTCAGTGTCCAGTGGGCCTGTGTGTCTTCCCATCCACACCCAGGGCTGCCAGCGGGGTCCCCAGGGCTGTGGTGGGGGCAAAGACGAGTGGTGACTGTCCCAAGTCCTGGGCTAGGCAGCGTCTCAAGGACCCTTGGGCTGAGGCTGGGGCAAGGGCAACACTGGCAACTGGGCCTCCTGGTCCAAGGTCTCAGAGGAGCCGGGTTGGAGCTGAGCGCTGGGAGGAGCAGAGGGGCCTGCCTGGGGGGCCCCCCCACCATGTGCCGCTCAGGCTAAGAGGGTCTTGGCTATAACAACCCTTTCACCAGGAAGCTGGAAATAAAAAGCCCCACCCCCACCCACCCACCACACTCTCAGCCATCACCCCCAACAAATTAGAGTCCCCTGCCCAGAGTCCTCCGGAACGGTGCTCCCAGGGGTGCTCCAAGCACTTGCTCTGGGCAGGTCCTGGGTCCCAGCACTAGAGAAGGAAAGGGTTGGTTGTGCTGGAAGCCTGAGCTGCCGAGGGGGGGATGCCCACGCTGCTCACCATGTTCATTGTTGTGGGGCCCAGTGGTGTCAAAGAGGAGCCCCCAGCCCCCAGAGCTGAGTGTGGGGCCACTGAGGTCATGGAGGCCACAGCCATGGGCTCCACCCCTGGACCAGAACCAAAGGATGTGCTGCTCCCCAGGACAGGGCTCCCCCGCAGCTGGTTAAGCGTCAGTGGCTGGGGCTGGTTCACCTGGAAGGGGTTGACGGGAGCCGGGGCCGCAGCACCTGGGGAAAGAGTGGTGGGGAGAGGCTGAGCTGGTGGGAAGGCACTGGCCCCTCTAGGCAAGGTTCAAGCACCTCCAACACCAATGTGCACCCAATTCCCCAGCCCAGGTCAGGGCTGTGTCCTATTGCACCTCTCAGGTTCATAGGAGACATTGGCTAATGGCTACTGACCACATGGACCCCACACCCCACACCCCCAATCCCGGCGGAGGTGGGAGTGGGCAGAGAGGAGCACACAACTTGTCCAGGGACACAGAGCTAAGAATATAGCAATATCAAGAACATGCCAGGCCTGGGGACCCCAGCCCCTCTCTAGAGCTGGTGCCCAGGCTGTCAGCAGCAGCAAGGCAGGAAGACCAGAAGGTTCAGTAACAACAGTGCCTATGTGCCACCCTGTGACCCACATACAGACACCATGAAAGCTTGGGAAGCTGATCAGCCCTGTCTCCTTGGTATTATCATACTCCGCACATATACTAGGAAGCCTCTTTCATGTGTTGGCAAAACAGCTAGAAGTCAGAAGACATGGCACTGTTGGCTATGTCTCCAACCTGTCCTCTTCTTTCACCCTACTGTTGCCAGATGTCACGCCTGACCAGGGACAGCTCCAGTCTCCACCTCTGGAGATGAGGTGTGTGTGTAGGCAGGGGAGGGGGGGGGGTCCTCCTTCCAGGGTCTGTCACAGGGCCTACAGTCTCCCATTAGGAAGGGACAGAAATGAAGCTCCGTTCCTTGCAATTCCAAAGATGATAGCCCATGACCTCCTGTGCAACCACTTAGCTCCAGCCCTGGGCTCCAGAAGGCCTGCCCAAACCCACTCCATTTTGGTTTGCCAACAAATCTGTCCCATCACAGTGCCACAGAGAGCTGGAGCTGCCATGTGCCCCTGGCTGAGGGGGCAAGAAAGTTCTGGGCCACATCAGGACCTCAAGGCAGGCTGGAACTCAGGAGCTCCAAGACCAGTCTTTTGCCTGAGCGCTCAAACCATCCTTCTAAGACGCCCAGTGGTTGCTGTTCCTGCCAGGCTGTGAGGGCATAGCCCTGGGCTCCCTTGTGGATCCCTTGTGGTTCGGGGCTAGGTCAGAGCTGATACCTGTTAGGAGACACATTCCTGCCCTTACGAAGGAAGGACTTCTAGAGGGGGCCATCTCCTAAGCCAGGGTGTGGGAAGGAAAGGAAAAGGATGTTCCAGAGGAGCCAAAGGGGGTCAGAGCCTAGAGATCAAGAAGTGTCCTCATGTCAAGGACCATCCCAGAGCTCTGTGTAGTGATGGGTGTGAAGCTCATAAGAAGAAGAGAGAACCAGGCTATAATGGCCCCGGACACTGGGCCAAGCCACTAAGGGGCTGTCCTATAACAATGTGGTCTGTCATCCCCAGAGGACCACTCATGCTGAAGAGCCCAGTTTCCCTGATACTGGCTCTTCCTCATCTAGCATCCTGCCCACCTCCACATACACCCAGCCTACCCAGCCTTCTGCCAGGGCTAGGGTGAGCCAAGGCAGCTTCTGCTCATTGCTCTCAATTTTCTGCCCACATCCTTTCCCTTTACACAGCAGCTTCATGTCCACCCACACAGCCCCAGAGAAGTACAGCATTCCTGATGGCTCCATTCCTTCCCAGCCGCAGGCCACACAGCTGGGGCACACAAGGAAGGGCCCCAAGAAGTGAGAGTCAGGGCCAGCATCTGGCTACACAGTCAGAGAAAGCTCAGACATGTGCCTACCTGGTGCCAGGAAGGGGTTGAGGGACTGTGCCGGCGGGGTGGGCCTTGTCACCAGTGAGTCCAGGTTCACCAGGGCTGCATTGGGGCCTAGGAAGGACTCAGGAGTTTTCCGGGCACTGCTGGGCTTGCTTGAGGCAACAGTCAGAGGCTGAGACTCAAAGGGGTCAGGGCTTGTGGTTCCATTGTTCTGGGATGGCATAGACGCCCCAGACTCGGCTGCAAGACAAGGACAAAGCACAGTGAGCAGGGGGCAGGGCCTGCAACCATGCGCCAAATGCTGCCCACCCCATGAGCATCAAAGTACCAGCCACTCCTGATGCTGCAGCTGTGACGCACAAGACCACATGTGCCCAGCAGTGCCCTTCCCCATTTCCCGGAATGGAGACACATAGTCTTTCATGGGCACCCACATAACCAAACAGCAAAATGCAGGGACAGAAAAACACTGAATGACGGGCAAAGAAAATTATCCAAAGAGTACTGTTTAGCACAATTGTGCAAAATATCAAGATGCTATCTGGGGTTGGTGGCAAAGCATGGATAATTTTTTTTTACACATCATTTTACATTTGAATTTTCCAAATTTTCTACAAAGACTATGAATTTCTTAATAATATGAGGAAAACAAATTGTTTAAAATTCAGCCAGTAGGTGTCCCGATAGGCTGGCAGGCATGAGATGGCTCGGCTGGGATGCACATGCCTTTGTTTAGCATCTCTGACAGTGTCCTACATCTAGGAATCCAGGCCCAGAAAATAATGTAAAATGTGAACGTAGAGTTGATTATAAAGATGTCACCACAGCATTATTTGTTGGAGCAAAACTTGAAACCAACCTAAATTGTTCTTCCCTAAAGTGATGATTAAGCTATTGTTGAACCACAGAGTTAACTATGGCTGCAAAAATATAAACATATGCTTTGGTACTGGGGTTTAAACTCAGAGACTCACACTTCTAGACGACTGCTCTACTGCTGAGCTATGGTTCGAACCCTTTTCATACTCATTTTTGCGACATGGTCTCACTTCCAGGTGTGTGCCTCGACTGCAATCTTCCTATTTATGCTTCCCAAGAAAGTAAGATGACAAGCTATTGATCAAGAAGGAGTCTCACAAACTTGTTGGGGGTCCTGGCCTAGCCTCAAACTGTAATCTTATTTCAGCCTTCTAAAGAGCTAGGATTCTAGGAACGAGCCGAGACCCTGATGCCCCATCCAAATTGTTTTTCTAATCATCAAAACCATTAATTTGTCCTTGCCTAAAAATCAGGATGGGGACAGGACTAGGCTGTGACAGGGACAGAGGGACAAGTTAAACAAAAAAAGACTGCTAAGAGTTCAGAAAAAGACAATGGAAAGCAACACAGGGCCAGGTGAAGGTGGAAGGATTACAGATAATATTCATTTTCTTTCATAAACATTTCTAAATGTTCTAAAATGGGACTACTTGTACAACTGGGAATATTTTATTAAAGTCAACCTGTCACCATGGCCAAGCTTGTTCTCAGAGGTGGACACAGGGACAAACACGACACAGGACAGGTCAGGCTGAGCTTGGTCCTGCAGACTTGTGGGACATTGCGTCTCTTTCTTTCTTTCTTTCTTTCCTTCCTTCCTTTCTTTCTTTTTTTGGGGTCCGGTCGTTGGGCCTGAACTCTGGGCCTGGGTGCTGTCCCCCAGCTCTTCAGCTCAAGGCTAGCACTCTACCACTTGAGCCACAGCGCCACTTCCGGCTTTTTTCTTTTTGCTTATGTGGTGCTGAGGAATTGAACCCAGGGCCTCAGGCATGCAAGGCAAGTGCTCTACGCTCTACCACTGAGCCACCTTCCCAGCCCCATTGCGTCACTTTCTTAATGTAGCAACAGACAGACCCTGAAAAGCTGCCTCTGTTTCTCCTGGCTGGGTGTCCTTGAGCTGAGGGGATGGGACCAGACGTGCTAGATTTCTTGGACCTTAGACCAGGGCCCAGCCAGGCCTGGAGCTGCAGCTGTAAGAGGGGAGCAGAGGGGGGCACTAAATGAAAAGGGAGAAGTGCAGGAGGGAAGAAGGAGGTGGGAAATGAGGGCAAGGGCTAGAGCTGGGGAGAAGAGAAAGGAGGGAAGTAGCTATGTATGGTTGAGAGGTGAAGCCGTGATAGAGAGAGGTTACCGGGCTATCCCCATTGCACACAGTGATGCGCACCCCCCTCCTAGACCTCTTCTTTTGCTCTTATCAAGCTCACCTTTACTCCTAGGCCCCTTCTCTTTGTACCTTCCATGTCCTCCCTAACCAAGGGACCAGGGAAGGAAGCAGGCTCTGGACTAGACCCGGGTTTCCTGGGCAGGGATATGGAGACATAGCCACACAGGAAGGGCTAAGAGAGTGGCCATGCACACCCAGAGGCAGGGGTCTGGAGAGAGAAGAATCTCTGGGGAGTGGGGAGTGGGAGACAGATGGAGACTGGACAGGATGGATCAGACCTGAGGTGGGCTCTACCCAGAGCAGGGAAGCCAGGGGTAAGCAGTAGCTAACCTGGAGGCACAGCCCCAAGACAGAACACTGGCTCAATACAAGGAAAAGGCAAAAGAAAAACTCAACCTTGACTTGTGTGACTTCACACTGGAAGTGTGTGAGTTCAATACAAAGAGGGTGCATGAAGCTGGGCTCCCCACGCATCACTCTGAAGTCGCTGCCCCTGTGGAGACCCCCTTCACCTACCTGGTTTATTTGAAGTCCGCAGGTTGTCAAATTCAGAAAAGTCATCTTTAACTGTACCATTGAAATTACTGAAGAGCTCGAAGGACCCTGTGGGGACAAAGAGGCGGTGACGGAGGGCGAATCGTAACTCTGCACTGCGTTTGTTCAGTCTACATCCTGCGGGGTCAGGCTGGGGCTCTCTCTCAGTACCTCACCTCAGGTTGAACCAAGTCTCCGCAGCAGGCTGGGAATGTGGCTCAGTGGTAGAGTGCTTGCCTTGCATGCACTCGATTCCTCAGTACCACATACAAAGAAAAAGCTAGAAGTGGAGCTTCTGGCACTTTTCAGAAGTGGTAGAATGCTAGCTTTAAGCAAAAAAAGGCTCAGGGACAGTGCTTAGGCACTAGGACTGCCCTCCCCCCCCAAAAAAAGTCTCAGGGGCAAAGGAGAGCAGGATGGACTCGGGCCTCCTGGTAGGCTGGAAAGGGAAGGAGCAGGGAGCCTGACCATTAGCTCCTGACTGCTCTACCATCCCACCCAAAACATGAGGGGCCAGTCATGCGGCAGGCACATCTGAGTTAGCTGGATGCTGCATGCTGGGAGGGTGTGTGGGAGTGACCCGAGTGGGTGCCAGAGCCAGCACCAGCCCTGGGTGAGGACAGAACCCATGGCAAAGGCCCCGTGCAGCGCCCCTTTCTCTCACCCCCTCAGGAAGCCCCTTGTGAGCGTACAGGTACACCCAGGGACTTGGGAATGCCCAATCTCAACAAGTACCCAGGATCTGGGGACAGAGCCAAAGGCTGCTAAGCAGGAGGAGGTGAACACAGCGCACAGACTGCTGCCAGGCACAGGGAGAAGCTGTTGGCAGGAACCTGCGGGGCCAGAGGGAGAGAGGTGCTCACCCGAGGCGGAGCTGGGCTTGGCAGCGGCGGCTGCGCCCCAGGCGTCTGCTGTCTTCCCAGCACTGGGGGCAGGCGGCTGCGACGCTGCCCAGGGATCTGAGCTCTTGGGGAGAGACTGTGTACTGGCTGTGGTGGGTACTCCCCAGGGGTCCACAGAGGCAGCTGGCTTGGGACCTGTAGCAAGATGGAATCAGAACTAGATTACTTCAGAAAGGTCTCAGCAGCTGCAAGGAGAGGGAAAAGTCACTGGGGGCCCAATGGGGTTTGTGCTCTGTGCCACACCCAGCCTGGACAGAGCTGGAGCCCAAGGCTACCCCCTGGGGAGTGTGCCAGGCCAGGATGACTGGGAACAGCCCCACTGGGAAGCACCAGAGGACACAGCTGAAACCCTGCAGGCATGCCCTGTCCCACAAGGGGCTTGCAAAGGGTTCTCTAAGCCAAAATAGATTATGGTCTGGAGGCATGGCTTACATGGTAGATCTCCTATTAAGTGCAAAGCCCTGAATTGAAACCCCTGTAGGAGGGTGGTGGGGGTTGTCTTTGCTGGGTTATAGGAATTCCCAGTCATTACTAGTTTGCAAGGAATGGCTGGTGAATGTTAAGCTTTCTGTTCATATCAAGGTAATCTCTTCTAATCTGCTAATGCAGCACATCACTAGGCTTTCTGATAACTTGTCTCTTAAAGTTCTTCATGAGATGCTTTATCTTCTTTTGTGTTTTCCTATTCTTTTTGCATCACTATACATAGATATATTCACCCACTGGCCCACGTGGTGGCTAGTCTCCCAGTGGCCTCCCTGTCTGGCTTGGTGCCATGGTTCCATTGGTCTCAGAAATGAGTAGGAATGGTGGGAATGTGGCTTAGTGGTAGAGTGCTTGCCTAGCATATATGAAACCCTGGGTTCCTTTTTTTTTGTCAGTCATGGGGCTTAAACTCGGCTTGGGCACTGTCCCTCAGTTCTTCAGCTCAAGGTGAGCGCCCAACCACTTAAGCCACAGCGCCACTTCCAGTTTTCTAGTGGTTTATTGGACATAAGAATCTCATGGACTTTCCTGCCCGGGCTGGCTTTGAACAGTGATCCTCAGATCTCAGCCTCCTGAGTAGCTAGGATTACAGGCGTGAGCCACCGGTGCCCAACTGGGTTCCATTCTTTAGTACCACATAAACAGAAAAACCTGGCTCAAGTAGTAGAGTACTAGCCTTGAGCAACAGCAGCTCAGAGACAGTGCCCAGGCCTGGAGTTCAAGCCTCAAGACTGGTGAGAGAGAAAGAGGGAGAGGAGAGAGGGAGAGAAAAGGAGAGAGGGAGAGAGAGAGAGAGAAAGAGAAGGAAAATGCATCCTGTGTGACCCTAAACTTCCAATATTTGTTTTGCTGAGGTTGGCTTTTGTGTGTCAAGCACAGAATTGTTTTAAGTAGTCTGCCATAGATTTTAAGTGTCTTTCCCACCTGCAGGGAACCATACATTTATCAGCTTGTCCTCTCTGTTCTGCCCTGAGGTCCGTGCTCTGCTCCCTCTATCCTCAGCACTTCCTGGTGTCCCGTGTGGCAGGTGTACTGACAACTGTCTCAATTCCTGTCCTAGCGCAAGGTGCCAGCACTTCACCTTTGTGCTGAGAAACATTGTCACTGAATACACAGTTCTGGACTTTTGATGACTGTTTTGTGGTTGTTTCAGTACCTTTTTTCTGTTCCTCCTTGTAAGAGAGATGCTTTTACTAGGAATAGCCGTCTAGGGGACAGTGATTTTCCTTGGGCACACTACAGATGCTTTTCACTGCACTCTGCACTGCTGTGCATCTGCGGTCAGCTTCACTGTGCTCCTTCCTATGGACACCTGCATGGTACAATACTTGGCTGTGCTCTTTCCCTGGTGTTCTCTAGCTTCCTGAGGCTGAGCGTGGGTGGGAACCCACCAGGCTTCCAGGACCTGAGCAGCACTTGGCACCTGTCCAGAATTCTTGTACACCATTAGCTATTACCTTCCCAAACACCAACTCTCCGAAGAGATGCAAGCTGGACATCCTCACAACCTCCATGCTTGGCCCATCAGCTCCCCAAACACCCTGCCTGCCTGCTGCTGGGCCACTCAGCCCTCATCTTCTACCTCTCATTCCTGTGTGGATTCGCCAACACCTCTGGATCCTCTCTTCACCATCTTTACACTCACACAGTACCAAAGCTACGCATTAACCACAGGTCTCCCCTAGACTGAAATCCTAAGCCTAAGTTTCTGGACATGAGGGACATCTAGTGAGCCTGCAACCCCTTAGCTAAGGCCAAGGCTCAGAAAAAGGCCAGAGGAGGTGGCAGGAACTTGCCAATCTTAGAGAGGACCAGGGAGTACTGCCCTGAGTTCAGAGCACATTCAGCCTGATCCCTGACCCTCCATGTGGCTTCTTCACAGCCCTCAGCCACCCTCCTGGGTAGAAGGAGATTGCTTGGTTTCCATGAAGATGGACTTGCTGGCTTCCTGCCTCGGAGGCTCTGAAATGCCAAAGGGCCTCCACTAAGCCTATGAAGCCACCCGAGCCACTGTCCCAACTGCCCCTCTGTTTGGTAGACCAAACACCATTGGCAGATGCCCCAGGAGAGAAGGGCATGCCTGGCTCCTGCCTAGGCATGTTGTGGTATGTACCTGTGAGCTAGATCCGACCAGGCAGGTGCTCATCTGTAAGCTACATCCCCAACACTCTGTGGACAGTTTTCATGCCTGGAGACTCCTATCTGGACTTACATTTTCTGCTGCTGTCCCAGCCACCCCATTAGGTACTCCAGAAAAATCCATCTCCCTCTAGAAGCTTTTCTGACCCCTCACCCTGGATGTCCCACCATCCTTCAAGAAACTAAACTCAGCCCTTGCTCTGCTGTCAGCAGAGAACACCTCACCAGGGTCTTGCTCTGACCTGACCAAGGGCAAGTAGCATGGTAGAAATGGATCATCAAGAAGAAGCGAGCAAAGTACTTACCACCTGACTGTACTTATCACCTGACGTAGGTAAAGGTAGCCCCACTGTACATCACTCTAAACAAAAACAAACTTAAGCTAGGTGGCTCACGCCTGTAATCCTAGCTACTCAGAAGGCTGAGATTTGAGGCTCGCAGTTCAAAGCCAGCCCGGGCAGGAAAGCCCATGAGACTCTTACCTCCAATAAATCACTCAGAAAATGGGAAGCCTTAAGCTGAAGAGCTGAGACAGCACCCAGGCCCAGAGTTCAAGCCCCACAACCAAAAACCCAACAAACAAAAAAGAAACAAGCAGAAGTAGGATATGATGTACCAGAGAGGACAGGAAAGCTGGGGCCCCAGTGCTCTGTAGGAGTCAGGGGCGTGAATACATGTTCCCTGGCTGCTCCTGCTCACCAGCAGCTCACAGGAAGGGTACAGTGTGTACAAAGCCCACATGCCGTTGGCTGGCTGTGCCACACCTCTAATTAACAGGTGTTTCCCAGGCAAAGGCGACACAATGGCAAGCTTGGGCAACTGAGAGCCTCAGGCTGCCTCACCATCAAGTCTGGGACATTCTTTGGCTACACACACCAGGCCTAGGTACCTGGGGCCTTGCCTGCCTTGCCTCAGCTGCTTAACACAGGTTGTGTGTTCCAGCTGGACACATTCTTGGACAAGGATATTCTAAACAAACTCAGAAGCTTATGATGCTGCTTTTTTGGGTGGTTTTTGTTTTGTTTTGTTTTGGTCAGTCATGGGACTTGAATTCAGGGACTGTGTTGTCCCTGAGCTTTTCTGCTCAAGGCTAGTGCTCTACCACTTGAGCCACAGTTCCACTTCTAACTTTTAGGTGACTAGAGATAAGAGTCTCAAGGACTTCCCAGCCTAAGCTGACTTCAAACCAAGATCCTTAGACCTCAAGTCTCTTGAGCAGCTAGGATTATAGGTGTGAGCCAGCATTGCCAGCTGAACACTTTAACTCTTAAAAACATAAGCTTACTGATGGCTCATGCCTGTAATCCTAGCTATACAGGAGGCTGAAATCTGAGAACCATGGTTCTTGCCAGCCCAGGCAAGAAAGTCTGTGAGACTCTTATCTCCAATAAACCACCAGAAAACCAGAAGTGACACTGTGACTCAAGTGGTAGAGCACTCACCTTGAGCTGAAGAGCTAAGGGACAGCGCCAGGCCCAGAGTTCAAGCCCCCCAAACGACCCCCCCAAAAAAAATGGTGGAAGTGATGCTGTGGCTCAAGTGATAGAGCTCTAGCCTTGACCCAAAGAAGCTCAGGGACAACACCCAGGGCTCAGAGTTTAAGCCCCAGAACCCGGGGGCTGGGGGGAGGGGAGTTGGTGTTTCAAAGCTGGGATGTGGTACAGCACTTCCCTAGTAGTGTAAAGTGCTGAGTTCAAACTGCTATGCTGCAAAAATAAGTGTTTGGACCTTTCTGGAAGCATGGTGAATACAACAGCAGCATCAACCACAGGGAGGGCAGCGCTCTGTCCTTGGGTCAGCAGCAGGCAGAGCCTGTGGGTCAAGGCTGGCCACAGCACTTTGGATATGTGATGAAATATGTCTTTCAGTGCACACCCTGGCCGCCCCAAATCACCCACACCACCAAGAACAGACCACCTAGCCTGGGCAAGCTCTGTCAGGTTTCTACTCTGCAAGCTACTGGGCCAAATTTAGATTGTTCCAGATGAGCACGGCTCCATGAACACAGGTAGGCAGTCCTGTGGCTGGCACAGCTTTCTTTGGCTTTCTTCCAACATGGCCCCTATTCCCACGGTGGGAAAGCTGAGGGCTCAGGCCAGGGCCCAGCTGCGCCCAGGGATTCCTGCTGGCACACTGGCTCCCTCAGCAGTGGAGATGCTACAAGGCTCCACTGTGCCCTCAGCCATGACATACACCCGATAAATAAATGCTTGTTGAAAACCAAGTGAGCGAGAGGAAAGGAGGATGGGATAAAGGTTGGAAAGACAAGCAGCTTCCGGCCTCCAGCTCTGTGGGGCCATTCACAGGGAGCATGTGTCCACTAGCCCAGAGCAGACCCATGAATATGGATGGGCACAGCAGGCAGTGCACAGCCAGGAAGGGGTCATCAAGAAGCCAGGAGCACACCTGCTACTGCTGGGCAGAAAACCCACTCCGTCCTAGCCGAGGGTGGAGGATGGGCCAGGAGGGGCAAGGCGGCCAAGGCCTTCTGAATCGTGGGGCTGTGCAGCCTCCTCAGACCAGGTGGCTGCTTTGTGTGGGGGACAGCGCAGGAAGTGCCCTGCTGACCTGGCAGGCTCCCGTCTCCCTCCTCTCAGCCTTGAGCACTTCCTCCCAAGGCCACTTGGCCCAGCAGCCCCCAGTGGTAATGGCAGGGCCACGACAAATGGTGGCTTTCAAAGAAATGCTTCTTCCTTCCGGGAGGGGGGTGGGGAGGGAGTGGTGGCACAGCTCACAGTGCATGGGAAGAGGCTCTAATCATTTTAATTTATGAACTTGTCTGGGGAGTGGCCCTGAAACTGCATTGCTGGGTTTCACCAGAGGCTGAGCAGTAAACCCCGTACCGTACCATACCCTGCTGGCAGCTGCTCACTCCTGCGGTGGTCAGCCCTGCGGAGGGACTGCCTGAGAGCATGGAGGATCCCAGCACCTCTCCCCACTGAAGGCAGGAACCAGGGCTGCAGGGCTACTTTGTGGAAGGGCTACTGGGGAAATGGCAGCATTGCCACATGTGGTGCAGCCCCACCCCCCAGGGAGGCTCCCCAGCTGCGCCTCAAGGGTCCAGCCCAGTCCACCAGCCAATGGTAGGGCTGGGAAGAACTTGCTATTTTTGTCTGACAAGTCAAAGATTCCCCTTATACATGGTAGAGGTAATGTGTGGAAGCTAAGGCTCCCTCCCACCACCCAGACCACACTGCTGCCCTCAAACTCACAGCTGTCTTGCCACATGTGGCCCGGGTACCTGGCTCTGCCAGGGCCTGAGAGCAGATTTTCCAGAGAAAATGTCATGCATGGCTGTGGCCACTGAGGGAGATGTGCTACTGGGGCTTGAACTCAGGGCCTTGCATTTGCTAGGCAGGTGCTCTGCCACTCGAGCTACGTCCCCCAGATCACATGGCTACAGCTTGACAGAGGAATCATGTTTCACACTTGAAACTGAAGTCACAGCCACTGCCTGTCTCCGGCTGACCTGCTTCATACTGTCTTCATGTGTACTCAGCACAAACACAACCAGCATAACCTCCCTCAGGGCGTGGTACTTTCTGTCCTAGACAGAAAGCCCTGAGGTCAGCCACAGCCAGCAGGAATCAGATACCAAGAAGGGCCACCAAGATACCAGGCCAAGAAGCCCTGACAAAGCCTTGCCCCTCACCCAGCAACTAAGAAACTCATTTGCCAGAAACATCACCCAGAGCACACTGAGTCTGTCATGTTTATGATTCAAATCTCCAACCAGAATTTCTCTTACATTTGGTATGAAGTAAAAACCAAGAAATATTCATTTACTCTTACCTAATTAACTTAGTCTTGCTTTGCTTTAAATAACAAGAATTACAGCAAATGTATGCCCTTCTCATTAGCAGTGTGTAAGTACATCATTTCCAGCTTATTATAGCAAATTGACTTAGATACTCTATCCTGGGTACAAGCCTGAAAGAGCTGAAATGTGCCCCATAGTAGGGACACACCATTTCTGATGCATAGGGAGGAGACAGGAAGTGGACGTGCCTTCTACCAAAGCAGAAAACCATTCAAAATAGAAAGAGAATGTTGTGCCTCAGTCCCCAAGGAGGTGGATGAGTGTCCGCTGGGTGTCACTGGTGAGGACCGGATGAAACTAGGCCTCCCCAACAAACACCGAGCTGAGAGAGCATGAAGCCCTGCCCTGTCCCCAACACCCACCCAACGTGCAAGCACTGGGCCCCAAGGGAGTCTTTACCAAATGATGGCCAAGGGTCCGAAGTGCTTGTGGGAGCTGCTGACCCACCCCAAGGGTTGGTCTGTTTAGCAGATGCCCCTGGGCCCCAGGGCTCGGCTTTCTGGGCAGAAGGGCCCGAGCTAGGAAGGGCATCCATTAAATCCAGCAGGGTGGTCTGCTGTGGGTGGGAGCCAAGCTGTTAAGACAAAGAGAAGGGATAGTTTCAGTTTGTTTAGAGGCACAGCAAATACCATGCAGTAACTAACTTCTGAAAGGTCTCTGGGGAAGGGTCGTAAAGAGATTTGGGGTTGAGCTATCCTGTCCCCAGTCTCATCCTCATAGTTCTACCAATGGTCCCACTGCTCGTAGACCCCACAGCCTCTAGAGTCCTTAGAGCTGCCAGACTCTTTTAGGATAATGTTGGTCTTTACCTGACCTATGAGATGCGCTTGCTCCAGAACACCAGCCTCCTGCATCCCCTTGTCTCTCCAGCTGCCAGCGACTACGAGTGTAAAGGGCCTCTGCCCTGTGGACCTGGGACATCTAAATGGGGAGGCCACCAGAGCCATGGACTCTGCTGGGAAGCAGGGGTCCCCATCTCCTGACAGGGTGCCGCTAGTTTGTCAGGGCCAAAGCTGTATTCTGTCTTCTCCATGTCAAAGTGGGATGCTTGGCAGAGTAGGACGGTGTGGACGATGGAGACCAGCACCCCAGAGGCTTGCGCTGACACAGGAAATGATCCCTCAGCACTGCCTTTTAGCTTAATTAATGGCTGCCATCAGCCCATAACCCTCACTTTACAGATGAAGGGATAAGACACAGGGACGCGCCAGTGTTGGCTGTTGGTTTAGATGTGCTCCACTCCTGACCACCGCAGGTGTGCAGCTGATGGCTGAGGGCTGAGCCTACTGGGAGATCTTATATGGGGTTAGGGAAGCTCTGGTGGCAACAACCACAGGGCAGCCTTCAACACTTCCCTTCTAACAAACTCATACCTCTTTCTTTTTGGGAACTTTAACTGTGTCTCTCCGGCTTTCTTCCAGGGCCATCTGCAATCTGAGGTCATCACCCCGCCTGAGGCGCTCTTCCTGTGGAGGGACAATGCGAGCTGGAGGCTGAGGGTAATGGTAACAACATCACAGCAGGACACAAAGCCGTGCTGGCCAGCAACAGGAAATGCACACTAGCATGCCATATTTCAAAGGAGGACTTCAAATCCTCGGAAACAGTGACTTTCCAATCCCCAGGGTGTTTTGAGACAGACCCTCCCTTGTGGTGCTGCCTGTAACTCCAACCCCTGGGGTCGTGCAGGGAGACCCCCTCAGGCACCACTGAACTGGGGAAAGAGAATGCTTCATCGAAAACAGTTCCCCTCCCCCGCACCCGCACCCCCCCTCCCCTGACAAAATAAACATGGCTTTATAATCCTTTCTATTTATAGAAGCAGTGTGTCTCCTTATAAAACATAAATCTGACAACTCAGGAAGCAATGAGACTGGAAATCTCAGCTCATTCTGCTTTCCACTGTGGATGCTCCCAGAAAATAACTAACTGGATAGTTGGTTCTATGATTCCTACCAGAAATGACTCATATTTATTTAAGGCACTCAAAAGACAGGGCTGCCCTCACTTTTATGTAATGATTAATTACAATCATTCCTTGTGTCTACTTCTTAAACTACTAAAAAGAGCTCCAGACATCTGCCTGCCGGGTGCTTCTCAGTGAACCCTCGCGCCAGCACCTGCCTCCCGGGCGTGACCACAGAGCCATGTACCTCCATGGACAGGCTTCAGAGCTGCATGCCCTCTACTGTGTAGACAGAGGCCATAGCAGATGCTATCCACTGTCACTGAGCTTGAGGAAATTTCAGTTCCAGACATACCAACAATGCCAGACAAACCTCCCTGCCTTTCTCTCTGAATGTTTAACTTCGAAATTATAGAAAGCTGCCCAGCATCCGCTCTATGCACCCATTTGATGACTACAACCCAAGACATGACAATCTCTAAGACCCCTCCACCCTCATTTGAAAGCAATGCATGCTTATTCAAGAAAAACAGGCCTGGTACCGGTAGCTCATGCCTGTAATCCTAGCTACTCAGAAGGCTGAGATCTGAGGATCACTCAAAGCCAGCCAGGGCAGGAAAGCCTGTGGAGACTCTCATCGCCAATAGCTGGAAGTGGACTGTGGCTCAACATGGTAGGGCTCTAGCCTTGAGCACAAAATCTCAAGGACAGTCACTAGGTCCCGAATTCAAGTCCCAGATGGCCCGAGTCCTTTGTAGTTAACATTTATAGTAAATTTCAAGGAATGTATCATAGTTAATCATTACACAGAAAGATTAGATAGATAAATGGCTTGCTGCAGAAGCATTCTGGAAATCACCTGTTGACAGACTCTTCCCTTAGCAGTGACATTCCTAGAAACCTTTCCTTAATGTAACCTAGCTTGGGCTTCCTTCTGGGCTCAGACTGGGGGAGATGGAGAAGAGAATACACTTGAGGCCACTGGAAGTGAACTCTGCAGGCACATCTGCATGTCACTGTCCTCCCTAGGACCCAAGCCCTGCCCAACCCACAACAATGCACATCCTCCCCTTAGGGACACTGACCTGCTCAGCCACTTCTCTGCTCATGGCAAGCGCCAGCTGCAGCTGCAGCTCCTCTTCTCCACTCGTCTGTGGCCGGGCCTGCTCCAGCTCAGAGGACACCCGTGGGGAGGTGGCTGCAGGAAGAAGACAAAGTCACTACATGCAAAGACAGGTGGTCCCTCTCATCCTTATCAGTTCTCTGGTCAGACCATCCCATTCTCATCTCAAGCCCGTGGGGCCCAGCTACAGCCCAGTGGTACAGGCAGACAGGAATGAGCTAGAGATGCTCCAAGGTTAAACTCTAGTGCCAGTCAAACATGGCTTCACAACTACATGAGGCAAATAGGCCAACCAAGAGAAAACCCCTTGGGTATGCAAACCCCAGCAGGCAGCTAGGCCTCAAGAGGACCGGAACTTCAGTCTTCTCTGCAGTGAGCAGAGAAGCTCCAAAGTGAGGGACCAACTCAGAGTCCCAGGGCAGAGATCTGAAAGAGCTGCACCAAAAAAAATATCCTGTAGCTGGGTGCAGAGCACCAGAGGCCGAGGACTCAGTTTGAGACACACCAACATTTGAGAGTTGCACTTAGTGTGCTATAAGGATTGGGGAACATGAAGCCCATCCATTTCTGTAGGGATTCTGAAGTTTGGTTTCGTCACATTGGACACAGGTATAAACATTTTTTTTTTCTGTATTAGCTAACTTGAACACTTATAGGCAGCTCCGGGACAGTTTTACTTTGCTTTTCCCTTAAGGATGATATAAATGCCTAGCTGGATGTAACAGACCCAAAATGAGGGAGTCTTTACATCCCAGGGCTCATAGAACCAAAGGATGCTTGTGGATGAAGGGACTCTGGATGACTGCAATTAGCTGTCAAGTGTAGGGAGTACAAGTTAGTGTCCATAGCTTCTCTAAAATCTTCAGGGCTTCCCTCCGATGGAAACCCTGCTTCAAGCCTTTGGGCTCCCCTGCAGCTCAGCTCACCACCACCTCCTGCTTCAGCACACACAGCTCAGCCTGCTGAGCTGGCCATCCAGGATAGCCCCATCCTCAGCTAGAGCAGACTCTCCCCTTCCTTCACTGCCTCACTATAGATAGGTGGATGACAAGATGCACAGATGGTGATCGATAGACAGATGGAGAATTCACAACTCAGGTGTAGTTCACAATTCAGGTGTAGTTGTTTTCAAATATCCTAACTGTGTGTTAATTTGCTTTTTTCTTTCAAAACTACCAGAATATGCTCATCTAAATGCTGCTTTTGCATATCCAAGCTAAATTTGCTTCCTAGAATCTGCCTCCTTGGGATAAAGTTAAAGGTCTGAAAGCCAAAGGACTCCTGACAAAGAAAGGGCCCTGGCTATGGTGAACAAGACAGAAGAGGCCTAAATGCAATCTGGATCACAGAGGTGACAGAGCCACAGCTAACCAAGTAGAACACTTGCCTAGCATAGGCAACTGCCTCATGTCTCTCCTCTCACTGGCATGGGAAAGGTCAAAATAATAAATAAATCAGTCCAGGTGCTGGTGGGTCATGCCTGTAATCCTGGCTACTAGGAGGCTAAGATCTGAGGATCACAGTTCAAAGGCAGCCAGGCAGGAAAGTCTGTGAGACTCTTATCTCCAATTAACCACCAGAAAACCAGAAGTTGTGCTGTGGCTCAAGTGATAAAGCACTAGCCTTGAACTGAAGAGCTGAGGGACAGCTTCTAGACCCAGAGTTCAAGCCCCATGAACACCACCACCAACAACAAAAAAGTCGGAAGTGAGGCTATGGCTCAAGTGATAGAGCTCTAGCCTTGATCCAAAGCAGCTCAGGAAAGCACCAGGCCCAGAGTTCAAGCACCATGACAATAAACAAACAAACAAAGCAAACAAATAAATGTTGTGATTATAAAACACATACAGATACTCCTGGTCCTGAGGCTTGAGCTCAAGAGTCTGGACTCTGGCCCAAAACCTCTCTGTGCTCAAGGCTTGTGCTTTACCACTTGAGCCATGGCACAACTTCTAGTTTTTCTGTTTATGTGGTACTGAGGAATCAAATCCAGGGCTTCATGCATGCTAGGCAAACACTCTACCTTCTAAGCCCCATTCCCAGCCCCACATGCTTCTCTTAAAAAAAAATAAAAACAAAAACACAAATCTCAACCTAGGGCTGAGGGTGTGGTAGAGTATCTATCTGGCAAGCAACCAGGCCCCGAGTTCAATCCCTAGTACCACCAAAAAGCAAGCAAAATACCTCATTCTAGTTCATTACTCCAATTACATTTTTAAAAGTATTTCTCTAGAAATAGAGCTGGATTGTCAGGAAATATATCCTCCAACCCTCCCCCCCAAAAAACCATTCATACATATATATTTTGGTTGTTTTTGTTCCCAAACTCACCAGTGTCAATCAGAATGCTCAAGTCTTGGCTTTTTTTTTTTTTTTTTGGTGCTCAAACAGCAAAGATGCCACCATCTAGGCTGGAGGGGACCAAGGAAGAGGAACAGTTCTGTCTCACTGGGAGACTCTTGCCCTCTGCTCTCTGATGATAAACAATCTGGGGCTTCGCTTACAAGTCCCTTGGTTTTAGAGCAGATATAGCAACTGACACCCTCTGTTTATGACCAAAGGGAAATCAGTAGTGAATAAAGGAGAGGGTCCCGTTTTAACACCCCCCCCAAAAAAAAGAGTGCTCAAGAAGGACTCCTGTCCTAGCAGGGAAAAGGCTGCTCTTTGGCCACACATCCACAGGGGCTGTGATTCAAACCAAGCAGTGATGAATGGCTAAGGCTCAGAACAGACCTGCTGTATACAGCAGAGCCTCCCTTGTTCTCTGAGCTGTTCAGCACACCTGCAAGGCCAGACTGGCTCCAAATGCAAATGCTCACTCTGCCATCACGGACGCAGTAAGAATGATGCATGGGCCCATGCATGCGGAAACAGCTCACCACATCAATGTGGAGATTCAAGACAAAGGGTATTTCCCCTGCATGCTGCGGTTTCTATGAACAGATATATACAGCTCGCAATTGCACAGGTGGCAGAACTCACAGCCACCACCCTTGCCTCCCAGCTGAGCTCCACACAGCGGGCCTTGGCTTCGAGGGAGAATTCCAGCAGACACTCTCGCCCCAGTGACAGCATCTCAGCCCCACAAAGGGCTTCTTATGCTTAGGCACATGACAGAGAACACAAATGTCCTTGTGAGACCGGCCTGAATGGGCCCTGTGACCACCTGAATCTGGTCCTGGCCCTGTTCTGAGGAGCTGAAGAAAAAGGCAACCAACTGCCTAAAAGACAGGCCACTCTCACTGCTGTGGCCACTGTTAGTGGCTTCCTGCTCTAGCCACCCTCTAGAGGGGAAGGCAGTAATGGCTGGTTTAAGCTAACTACTAAACTACTAAATGCCTTCCTGATAAAACCTTCTCCTACCCACACAGGTGTCTATTAGTCCAACTTGAAGAAAGAGTTCCAGGTCTTCGCCTCCACCAAAGGCCAAAAGCATAACCATGGCGGGGGGGGGGGGGAGGGGAGGAACCTCACTTTTATTCCCTCCAGATTGCTGTCAGACATTTTCCACAAAATTCATTGTAACAGGTAGACCAAAGGATCCTCCAGCTCAGGAGAACAGGGGTTCTGATCCTGGTTCCCTCTGTCACTACTGTTCTACCTACTCCATCAACCGTCTAGACAGGCCCTGGGACCTAGACCTCCTTTCCAAACATACTGCTCCAAACATGGAGATGTTTCAGAGGGAGGAAATCCTCTGGTCAATTTCATCTGAAAGAAGGTGGTGAAGTAGTGGAGTTGATTGAAAAACAGGAAACCATTTCTTACCAATCAGTTACATTTTGTCATTTTCCTAGAAAGCGCTGCAGCTGCAGCAGCACCAGCCAGCCACATAAATGCTGACTGAAGGCATCTACTGCGTGAGGTGCCGTGATGAGTGCAGGACCCAGCTGGCCCACCCATGGGGAGCTCGAGGTTACCCCAGCCAGAACCCTCTCCTCCATTCCGGGCCCACAACTCTCTTGAGCATCCTTGCTCTCCAAATCACCCAGCAAAGACTAACCATTTCAGGCCTCTATTGAACATCCCTGGGGCTCCAGTATGGCTGGTCTCTGTTCTATTTCTGCCTAGTTTTCTTTAGGAAAGGAGAGAAGCCCACACTAGGACCAAAACCAGCTCAGGGTCAGCTTCCTTCATCATGCAAGTTCCTTCCTCATTACTAAGCTGTGAGGAAATGCTTACTGAGGCTTCCTCAGTAATGTGGTGACATATTACTGTGGTTCTCCAGGCCATGTCCAGAATCAGCACCCAGTCTGGCCATCAGAAAGAAGCTCACCAGAAGCTCAGGCAGCGTTAAAGCTTCTCAACATAGTGGCCCTCCATCCAGGTCTCTGCTTCCTCATAGCAAACAACAATCAGGAAGGGTTCCTTTTAGTTGAGTAAGGAGAATTAGGAGAAAATAAAGATCAGCTCACCCCCCCCCAAGGATATTAAAAAAGGGAACAAAAATAAATACATGGAGCCAGGTCAGAGAGGAATAAGATGAGACCTACACCAAAACAAGATCACAGGCAGTTTTGCTCTCTCACAGGCTGTGGCCACATCTTGACAGGTGGCCAAGCCAGTACCCCCAGTGGTAGGATGGCCACCTACCTGTTGACATCACACCATCACCCAGAACTGTCCCAGCAATGTGCTGAGACTCATGGAATCAGGCTCTGGATGTGATCCCCAGGTCACAATGAGTCCAAGGTGAGGAATGGGCTGAACAAAGCAAGCAGCAGCAGAGAGACAAACCCAGGCGAGGGCCACCCTGCTGGACAACCTGCTTGGTGCATCCAGGGGGGAGGAGAGGGGACACATAGCAGGGGCAGGACCCCCAGGAAACATGTGGTCCTGGATCCCTGGGCAAGATACTTTGAGGACAACTGACAAAGTCTAAATTTGGCAATTGCTGATTATGTGACTCCCCAGGAAGACAGACATCCTTGAGGTTAAGGGGTGGTATGTGATGACACTCATGACTTAATACTTCAGCATAAAAGGCGGGGGGAGGGGGGACAAGCGTCTCTTGTCCTGCCCTTCCCCCCAACACTTCCCAGAGGAAGCAGCTGCTCACGGTTTCTTGCAATTTC